CGCGACACGACGATCCGCGCCGTCGCGTCGATCGACCTACGGCGTCTAGGTCCTACGCGAATACGTTACAAGAGCCTTTACTGCCCACTGACCGACCACTGTCCCGGTTCACCGCGTAAACCGACCTTCTCCGAGATTGCTCCTCTCCTCGTCCGTCCTTCCTTCCGTACCCCGTTGCTCGCTTCCGATTCTACCTTCTACATCTTCGAACGGACTACGCCTCTCGAATATCGAAATGTTACGAAGCGGCACTGCGATCAGGCCATGGAAGGGAAAAGCGTGATAGACGAGAGACATATTAGCTCGAAAAAAGCTGATAGTTCCGTGTATCTGATTCGAAGCAAACAAGTACGAGCACCGATCAAACGTCGCGTCGCGTTGCATCGCACCGGTCTTATTTTACATTCGCGATGTATGTACTTCTTTTGCCGTGGCTCGTTTGCCCGATCGGTTAGTTGCCGGGACGGTTAACAGCCAACTGGTCGTCGCGCCGGTCTCGTCGCACCGCGTCAGTTGATCGACTCGATCGTACTCTGTCGTTCCTCGCGCGTATTCGAATCGATCGAATTTAATTTGGAGGAGAAGAAAATCGGATGAAAGCCGAGTAAAGATTGGATTCGTTAAGAAAATTTTTCTCGCGAGTTCGATCGAGCAAAGTCTTTTTGCACCGCGTCCCGTCGTCCGGTCTCGTTCCTCGTCGATACGAATTAAGCGTATCGCGAACCTGATCCTTCGGCCGAATCGGCACATGCATCGTGCCACGGCAGCCACGCTTCGAATCGAGCATACGCGCGTATGTATATTCGCTTAGCTGTTATGCGTCCACCTGGAAACGAACGTGAACAGGAATGGTAAATGGCGGTTGACGGGGCATCGGTGTCTGCGTTTAATTAACGCGGCATCGGCTACGTCGGGTCTCGCGTTCTCTCCGTGTCGGTACTCGGTACCACAGGAACCAGCCACGAGTACGACTGACCTCGATGCTACACCGACAGTTTCATCGAACTCGATCTTTACGCGACTCTTTACACCCTCGCATCCGCACTAGTTACGAACGATTCTCTTTCTTCCTAACAATCGGACCTAATGTAACTTGCTAGACTTCTCGCTAGAGTATCGTTTCGAAACGTATTACGAAACCGGAAAATGAATTATCGGTAATTCACGATTATTCGAATCGGACGTAATTACGTTCGAGCAGCTCTCCCATAGCGATCGCCGCGTTAAAAGACGACAACGGGTAAAACTGGATCGGAAATTTAAAGAGAACGATATCGTTGTTTGGAGAATCGATCGTGACTTGTTCGCGATAGGTCGGTCTGGCTGTAACTTGCAACTTGCAGCCACTAGCCGCAGCCACGCGGTGCGTACGTGTGTCGTTCGTCCGAGTATAAGTATACACGTGTACGCGTGTACGCGTGCTAGTCGGTGCGAGAGTGATTCTGTATATAGGATGCGACAGTACGGCGCCATGCTCTCGCATACAAGCCAGTTTCCTCTGCTCTTTTGCCGCGATGCGCGACGACGATACCAGTGTATATGTTACCGCGTACAGGCTGTTTAACTAACAACCGACCAACCAACCAGTCGTTTCGCGTTTTTCGCAAAAGCCTAACGCGGCGATTAGAAATTATTTCGAAAAGTATCTATAGTATAGAGTATAGAGAGAATTCCGCGCTGCGAAACACATATATTTCGCCTCGCGATCGCTCGTTTCTCGCTTCGCGCGCTTTCAAAAATTTTCGAATCTATACTCGACCCTGTGCTTCCTCGCGAATAATCTCTGCTTACTTTTATCGGCATCTACCAACCAAAACCAATGTCGCTTCTTTTCCCCGTACATTTTCGTTTCAACGCGATTGCTCCATTCCGCTTCGTGCATCCTCTTCCATCGATCATAATTATATGAAAAATCTCCTCTTTCTAGACCAAGATTATATATTATAAGAATATTGATAATAATTTTCTCGTCGACATACTAGAGTTAAATCGGTACGTTAGGAACAAAATCATTTCAACGAACATACGTACGATGTCGTTTCGACTCGACGTCGATGCAACTTATCCGCTACTCTTGCGAGTTTTTTAACTAAATTTTTACGAAAATCCTACTTTTAAGCTAGTTAAATCGGTTAGGCGAAACTTTTACCAGGAATCATGGACGCGTATAGAAAGCGTGTTAATAATTACAGGCATCTGCTAATAATCGTAGAAATACCCATAAATGGTACTTTGGCAATGTTTGCGACGCCATTTTTCGCGCTATCTATCGTTGATAACTAGCACTTCGACTCAACTGTTTCCGCCATCTATCGCTAGGTTGCGAAATGAAAATTTCAATTAGCGGCAAAATATTTTCTCCGGTTGTTTATCGGGAACCGAAAACATTTGGAATCAAGATCGGTCGCCGAGGGATCGATGTTTCGTACGTTGCGACAATCGATATATTCAAATATTTCATCGATTACGAAACCGTGTAATCAACGGCAAGCATCGAAAACGATCGAGACAAAGATACTCTACCTGGAAGCCAATTTATATCATCCGTTTCTGAATATTTCGCAGATTTCATCGAAAATACCGTGTCAAGATCTACGATAGATCCTACGAAATGAGTAAATATCAACGTGCTATATGCGTATTGTTTTTCGTCGAACCTAACCTAATGCGATATGATCTTTTTCTCGAAACAGACGTATCACGGAATAATAAATCTAGTCTGTCCCAAAAACCTTCGACACGTTCTAATAACAAAAAACGAAGCAGCGATGTTATCAGTCTGTCTCAACCTATCCCGAGTACGAGCAGAAGTATACGCCCCAAGCAATGTTTGGCAGAATCTCCACCGGACCTGATCATTTCTGAGGAACAGAAAGAACTTGTTAATAGCGTGATAAGATATATTTTCGCGTTGAACACAGGAAAACATATTATCAGTAAAAGTCAGTTAATTAAGAACGTATTCGCCAACAAAGGGAAACATTTTCATCGGATAATGAACGATGTACAAACTGTGTTGTCAAAGGTACAAACAAAATATCCTTGTTCCTGCGATGATCTAAACATTTCACTTTCGTAAGAATCGTATGTACGTATGTAAATATATGTATAAGACAAACATAATACGACACTGATTCAGGTACGGATATATGTTTCGACAGATTTTTGGATATCGACTGATAGAATTTCAAACTAACAAGTATATGTTGGTGAACGAAATACAGAACCAAATACCACACATTTATCCTAGAGCGACAGAAGGAAGACAACAAGTATTGCTGTTTCTAATACTAACGCATATCTTCATGAGCGAAGAATCCTGCTCCGAAGGTAAAAATCATCGTAAGATCAAGACGCGTATATTAATATGCGTTACAATGTATTCGACAAGATAAATTGGTTTCAGAATCGTTGTGGAATTTCCTTACAAATTTGGATATTTCATGCTCCGATAATCAGAATCACCATTATTTTGGCAATGTTAAACGTTTAATAACCGAGGTAAAAACAATAAAAAAAGAAAAAAAAAACTGAAATTGGAACGTAACGTTAAAAATGAAATTTTGGATTTATGCAGGTATTTGTCGGGCAAAAATATCTCGATAAATTGAGTACGAACGCGAACGATTCGACAAAAATCGAATATAAATGGGGGCCTAGAGCGGAACACGAATTTTCTCGACGTGCTGCGTTAGAATTCGTATCTCAGGTAAAGTCAAGTTTTCCCGTTAATTTCAAACGGTTTCATTTCCGCAACTATTATGCGCCTAACCTTATTCTTACAGATATACTGCGGACGTCCGATAAGCAATTGGCCGTTACAGTTCAAAACCTTACAGGCCCGAGAAAAGGCTAACAAATCCCAATGACCCGTTACATCGGAAAGAGTAAACCGATTACGAATTGTTATGATCGCACAATATCATTTGGACAAGTCGTTATTTCTAGTGATACCAGCCAAAACGTATTTTATCGTCGCGAGATTAGGGTCGTTCTGCTCGGTAATAAAAGGAATCGTTAAAATATCGGGCAAAAATGAAACGCGGTAAATAAACCTAGTTAACTGGTAGAAAACTTTGCTGTTACGTCAGCGATTCCGCGCTTTTTCTTCTTTACCGATTCTCTTATCATCGACGATAAAACGATTCGAGAAAACAAGATGAAACGCAACCGATTGAAATTGATCGTTCGTAAAATAGCGAACCGCGTCCAAGCAATCGTTTCGTGAAATTTTGTTGGAACGTCCCTGAAAGCAGCCGTAAAACTGCGAAGGGAGATTAAAGCTTGCACGCGGTCTTCGAGTTCAGCAGGAGGGTCAGGAAGAATCTGAAACGTTCGGTTGCCCTAGTTTTAATTAAATCTAATCGGATTCATATTTTCTTATTTCTAACGTAATGTTGCACAACGCGATAAACTCGAAACACGAAGAATTCATCGAAACAACCGCGTGAAAGATTATCGATATTATCGTGTGCGGTATAGTATCGTACCATCGATATATTTACGTTTAAGTTCACGTTCAAGCGTTTAAATAGAAAAGAATTCTCTGTAATTTGCTGTAATTTGCGAGGAGTGAAAATAAAATATGTTAGTTTTCTTGCGAAATTATTGCTCGAATTAATCTTCCTCGTGGTTAGAGTTAACCGATGTCGTAGCTGCAAAGAATCCATAAAAGATCGCGGAAAGCGTTAAAGCACGATATTTCGCTCGCGTTCGAAATCGTAGCAAACCAAATCGTTTCGTTTCGTTTCGTTTTCGCGGTTAAATAGCAGCACGATCGCGCGCAGCCACGAATCGAGCGAAGCGTATCAGCTCGGCCAACGAATCTGTGTCAGGCTGGGGGGCTGTAAAGTAGCGCGAGGCTTTGCCGAATGCAAGTGCTCCAGTGCTCGACCGTCCTCTTTGGTAGGTGGTAAGAGCGGCGTGCGCGGTTCGCACTGCCGCAGTACCGCCGCTAATAACCGTTCGTCCGCCTATCTTTTTCTTTACAAACGATTCGGTACGGCCTACTTTTAATAATAATTCCGTGACCGATCATCGATCACCACGGGACCACTATCATGATTTCGTATCGCACACGACTCACCAAACAGCGTGCAAGGATGCCCAACGGAATTTCCTATCGAAAATAATCGAGGAACAACGACGGTACCGATCAACGATGACAACGTTGACAACGATGAAGACAATCGTTAAGCGAAACAACGACATTGAAGAAAAGTGAACAAAAAAAAAAGGAAAAATCGTTGATCCCAGGTCCAGGGAAGATAAGATGCCGAGGAGACGCGGAAACGATCGCGTTCGATAATAGTCTCTTTTTGGGAACGCGTTCAACCAATTTAGTGATAGTAAAAGGAACGATCGAGGCTGCTCCTAGTGCGTCCACCTAGATTCGAGACTCGTTTTGATTTTCGCCGATCTTTCGTTTCGATCGTTCGAAAGAAAAAATTCGCGACAACGACGAGAGCGGTATACTCGAGCATAAACGCGAGATAATTCGTTCGTCGAGGAGGATCGTTCGTTGGTGAACGACCGCGTACGGAAAATATACGAAGAACATCGAGAGACGGGCGAAAAGGCTCGCGTAGATGACCCGATCACCGTTAAATAAGAAAAATTCAGCGTGGATAACAAAATAAGGGGCAAGAAAAGGGAAAAAGCCGCTGGTCATTTATTTGGAGCGACGACGAGTGGACAAGATGTTCAACCTGTATCAAAACTTGAACAAAAGGGACGACGATCACAAAGAATCGGACGTCACCGGACACGACAGGTTTTGGCAGGAACGGCCTAAGACCCGGCGAAAACGCCGAGCCGTTAATCGAAGAACTCAAAGCGCCATCGAGCTCGACTCCGAGGCAATCGTCTCGGCACGAGGAACTCTTCGCCGCGGAAGAAGCGCGAGTATCGAGGACGAAGATAGCGACGAAGAAAAGAGCTACCAGCTGACCAATAAAATCGACAATCTAGCCAAAATATTATTCAGTCGCGTGTCCGCTGCACGGGGTTGTAAGGAGTCGGACGTCAGGTAATCAGCGGTTCGATCGTCTAAACAAACGACGTTTCGTTTCCTCGATTCTCGTTGCAGCCACCTTTTCTTTTCTCGTTCTTATCTTTATCTTGCGATCTTTGTCTTACGAGTGTTACTCGGACAACCGACTCGGTCACGCTGTCGCGTACAATCGACGCGACGCGACATACCGAAATATGACAACGATCTTATTCCTGCGCGTTGCAATACGAGTAATCGATACATCGCGTTGTCGCTTGCTCGTATCGACTCACCGATTCGAATCATTATTAAATCAAAATAATCGATTGTACGTACAGTGTGTCGGAGAAACATCAAAGTGTTATTGTCTTTGGAAAATACCGAGGCAAAGATACATGGTTCGTGCGAGAAATTTAACCGAAGGAACATTACGCGCGATCGATAACTAGACAAATCGCTTTGATCGTATCTAAAGACACGGTTGAAATAGAGGTAATAATCGTTACCTTTATACAGTACGTTGATTCGCCGCTCCGCTTTCCTCTCTAACATACATTATTCGCTGTATACGCGAGTATACGGTATAATTTCTCTTTTGTTCGTTGAACCGTCGCGTCGCGTCGTGTCGTTCGAACAAAGGTATCGTTCTCTCGGTAAGATCACCGCTTCTAAAATGTTGTTTGTAAGCCATCGTTCATCGATCGTTCTCGAGCATTCTCGACTCTTGATTGCACCGTTCAGGCGACGCGCACACCTTGTGTACAAGCGGAACTTGGAAGAAACGTCGATTCGATCGAAACGGGCTTCGATCGAAGCGACGCGCGAAACTTTCGTATCCACACGATTTAGTCTTGATTCAGAGTTCCGAGTTAATATTCGTTAGTCGATAAACGTGCGTATTCTTCGATGGAGACGTCGAACGTTGATCACGACACGCCCAACCACCATAACAGATGCTCGCAAAACCTCCGATCCGGGCTAAAACGGATACCAACGGTACAGTCGCGCAGGTGATATGGTTCCTTCGAGTTGTTCTTCCTGCCTCTTTCTCTTCGTTTCTTCTTCTTTCTTTTCTTTTTTCTCATTTATTCATTTTTTTTTTTTTTTTTTTGTCGAGCTTCTCCTCGAACATACGAAATTTCTCGCGTCACGTTGGCAAACAACGAAGGAAGCACAGAGAGAAAGAAGCGGAGCAAAAGAAAGTTATTAGGGAAATATCGATGTTATCACGATCATCGTGTTATTGGATGAAACCTTTGCATTCGTAGAGAGGGGTGGCTGCTCGCTGGCATCGGTAACGCAACTGATCCCGTTTGTAGTCGTTGCTGCACGAACTTAATCCGTTATCGGAATCGTTCGTCGCGCGGCGACATTGTAATTCTTAAATGCAACGACGGATTTCCAAACGATTCGCTCGTCGAAGATAGGTAATATTTTTCAGCTTTCCTCTCGTTTCCGCTGCTCGCCTTTCGTTGTTTCGCTCCGTTCTTGCGACGGAGCTCTCCTACTCTCTTTCCACTTACCTTCTCCGTGGTTCGTCGACCCCTTTTCTCGATCCGCGTGCGTAAGCGATTCTGAAATTCATCGCGTAGCGTACACGCTAATTAAGAACGGTGTTAAAATCTTTGTTCGAAATAGCATCGTAGGTCGGTCGCGTTAAAGGGAACTAGGAGAAGAGAAACGTCGAGCGTTCTTGTTCGCGAAACAATCGGATTAACGCTTTAACGCGAATTTCCCGTCTATCCGTGATAGAAATGGAAAACACAATTACACGGCGTTGGGTCATGGACCATCGGTTTGCGAGGACGTTGGCGAATACATGGAAATGGAGAAAAGATCTAGGGATCGTGCCTTATCAGTTTGCCAGGCTTATATTCGAAGAACGTCACGCTACAGTCTCGTCAAGCAGTTAAATAATCTCGGTAAGCAGTAAGCACGATTCTTTTCGTTTCCGTCGAACGCGACTTTCTTAGAACAACTATTAATAACTTAACTAATCCGATGTTTAAAAACCGATGATCTCGAAAGTTCTTTTCCTTTCTGAAAGTTTCGAATTGGCCGTAATATCCCTCGCGAGCGAGAGACAATTGTTCAATTATTTTTCGTCATGTTCCAGGCTCTAGAATGGACAAGCACTGGTTCACGGTGAGAGACACTTCTCTAAAGACCGATCGACTAATCACCTTAGCTCCGCTAAGCAGAAACTGCTCGTTGAGCATTTCTCCTTTAACCAAGAATATTCTGAACGACTTGTTCTTAGCCTTGCAACATCCGTACATATGTCCTATATTCGATATCGATTTTCTCGAGTTCGAGAGTCAAAACTACGTGATAGTAGTGCAGCCCATCAGTCAAGGTAGTTTAAAAGATTTAATCTACGGGGTGAGTAGTTCCGCGGCGATCTGGAAAGATCGTGAAATTGGACAGAGGTGAGAAAAAAGCAGAAAAGAGGCAAATTGTTTAACGCGTCGACGTTGCTTCCGTTAGATCGAAAGAACCGGTTGGAACGAAGATTGGAGTCAAAAATACGCTTCTCGCGGCAAAGGACTTCCCTTACCTCAGATTCAACAAATGGGCCGTCAAGTGCTGGAAGCGTTAATTTTTTTGAAAGAAAGAGGATTTCCGACCGTGACCCATTTACATTCCGGCAACGTATTGGTACAAAACGGTGTCGCACGGCTCGCCGGTCTCGAGAACACGCTCCTCGGTTTCACCAGTCGCATACATCCTGTCATTACTTCTCGAATTTCTCAAACTATCTCGATCGACATAATATGCTTCGGTAAGATCATCCTCCTTCTCCTACAGACTAACTGCGATAACATCTTACGCACTGTATTCCAATTATTTTTAGGTCATATGCTGTTCGAAATGTGCGCTGGTTACGAATTACCGTCGTTCAGACCGAATTCCGTGCATCTTTCGGATCTTGAAATGTATCCACAAGTACAAATCTCTCTCTCTCTCTCTCTCTTTCTTCCTCCTCTTTCTCTTTTTTCTCCGCTTATTCGCTTACTTAATTGCTTGTTCGCTTAATTTTTTCTTTCTTAATCGTATCGTTGCATCGCTCGTGATTTTTCCATTTTCATGGGCTCGTCATGGACGCATCGCTAAAGCAGATTCTTTAGTCCTTTGCTCTCGAATAATTGAAAACCGAAGAAGGAAATAAGAAATGATTTTAAATAACGTTATTTAGAAATAATAACTTACTCTACGCTATACTTTTTCTTTTGACCGTGACAGTCACGCGAATCGAAAGGTTAATTATATTAGAGTCGGTAACGGTGAAAAAATTTTGTTAGTCGTGTAACGAGCCCATCAAAGTATATACCATTTAAATTCATCCTATTGGCGAAATTCATCAAAGCTTCAACTCGTAACAGGTCATCGAATTACTGAAATTTACATTCAGTGAACCATCTAACCGTCATAAAACCATCGAAGAGCTTCTCGTTCACGATTTATTCAGAAACATCGACCTTCGCGAAATGCGAAGTGCTCCAGTTACGGTGAGTGTGTATACTTTCTTTCCAATTTCGATCTTTCCTTGTCTCCTCGGTTGTTTTTTCTCTCCTTCCTTCCTTCCTTCTTTCTTTTTTTTTTTTCTTTTTACTTGTCCCATTTACGTAAGCAACTCTTATTCCGAATTACATCCTCGATTTTTCCTCGCAGATATTTCGTCCGACATTAACACCGCCTATAGTGAACTTACTCGATGGTATTAAACGACAGAACGCTAACAAGAGGTAATGTTACCACGTAACATCAAAGTCAGGAATAAGAATAAATCTGTTTTGTGTATTTTTTCCCTGTACTCTTTTTGCTAAACATTCGTTTTGCATGCACGAACAGGCAGAGGTCGCGCTCTATAAACGATGTCTATTTAACGGGCAGATTTTGGTAATGATACGAAAAGATTCGTTCGATTTATCGATATAATTACGTTAAACGATTATGCTCTAACGCTTCCTAATATCCTTTCTTTTCTCGTTTACAGAATTACACGTTTGGATAGCACCGACATCGATGCGACGGCTCTACACAGACCGCATACAGTTTGCAAGAATTCTTTACTCGATGAAATATACAACGAGCTTTCAAACACGGCTGTATAATTGTGGGAACAAAATTTATTTGGTCGCGATTTTACATTTAGAAGATCTATACGTTTCTTTACCGAGTGCCAAACGATTACTTCGATCTTTATTCTTAGCAGTTGTGTATATCTATAATGAATTTATTAAAAAAAGAAAGTGACAATAAAAAATTGGAAAAACAAAACATGCCCACGCACACACACGCATCATACAAACCCAAATAATTTTATTTCTTTCTCCGTTCAGTTATCATCGTATTTTTCTTTTACCAAATTTTCCTTACTTATCAACTAGGAAATCATTCGGTGACAGAAATTTATTCTTACAACATATAACCGGCTATACGATTATGCTGTCCTTGAAGAAAGAAAAGTACAAAATGTCCTGCCGCTCTGTTCCTCTTCCTTACGTATGCACGTATCCACACACGATACGTACAACACTGTAACTTCGATGTAAACATACACGAGTTACGATGTTATTCGTATTAGATGTCGGTACACAGCAAGGTCGGTAGAACAGTCGCCCGCTATTATTTGCCAACTTCTCACCCCGGAACAGGAAACGAGAGCTATCTTGCTTTAAGTTTCTTTTAAAAGACAAAATAAAAAAAGAAACAGCTTGCACGCGACCGTACATCACAAAATATCATTGAATGATACAAAACTTGCAGATTCACCTGTTTATGCATAGGTAATGTAATATTGAAAAAAAAAGAAAAAGCCAAGTTATCTATCTGTATAAATGAAACGAACTCTGTCTTTAAAAATATTAAAAAAAAATAATAATAATAATAATAATAATAACTCGGTACATTGAGCATACTGTTACCGATATCAGGATAAAACGATTCTCCCGTTACCCAAAGGCCATACCTTTCTCCTGTCGGTTCTGCTTCGTCAATAACGACCGACCAGACGACAAATAGCACACGACGACGGAACACGAAAGAATTACTCTATATGTAACTTTAAAATATTTCAGAAAATCAGAATTGCAACGTATCAGAAAATCTACGGCAAAAAATAATCTGACTCTTGAACAGTTTTACGCGTAACGCATACTTTGTATATATCCGATCGAAGAAACGCAAGCACCAGCAGTTACTTCCGACAAACATCGAACTGAAATAATAGAATGTTCCTTCGATTGATCGTAAAAATGTACACGTAATGCAACGTACGCTGCTACGTAAGCGAATCTTAAGATTTGTAGTAAAAATAGGTATATTATTGCTTCTCGATGATCTTTTCGTTTGAACGTACAAATTCGTTTGAAACATTTATCCGATATTAATTTGAATTATTGGTTTCGCGCGAACATACACCTGTGCGTGTACGCATGCGCGCGTATATCGTTAGGAAATTCCAGTATCAAATAATTTAATCGATTATTTCTTACACTCTATGACGCACCAGCTTCTAATTCGCTAGCCGGAGTGTCTGGTTCTTCGTCGTTGTAAATATTTTCCGCCATTTGCCACACCTGCATTATATTGTCTTCCGATACCGAACATATAACCCACGGTTCATTTGGATTCCACGAAAAATCACTGATCTTCGCGGTATGACCGCCATGTATGAACTACGAAAAAATTGAAATACACTCGTGATACTCGTGCACTGGTGCGCATCGAATTGTTAAAAACGAAAGTATATTCAAATAAATTAGATTAAATACCAGCAACTCGGGTGGCCCATCTTCGGCATCCTCGCTAGACTGCTCCTCGCCAATTTTACTAAGATCCCATACGTGTAAACGCCTATCCGTACCGCTACTAGCCAATATTGTTTCATTATGAGGCGACCACTGAACTTGAAATATCTCGTCTTTATGGGATTCGAATGAATGTAACTTTAATTTCAAATTCCTCAAATCCCAGAGCGCTACCGTTTTGTCAGCACTGCCAGTCGCAAGAATGAACTCCGAATATGGATTAAAACTCAAACAATTCACTTCGGCGGTGTGAGCATCGACTGTATGACTGGGTTTGCTGGTGTTGTTGCATCTATCAATTACGACAGTTCATTCGATACTTGTAACAACGATATTTACTTTTACTTACACCGCCACCGGTAACATGCAATTACCTCGTGTCCCAAATCATTAATTTCTGATCATCCGCAACGGATCCAAATAGAGATTCGTGTAATAGATGCCAAGCTACGTCCTCGACAACAGCGGTATGTCCTGTAAAGATCGTTTTTGCGTCTATGACACGATTTTCCTTCGGCGGCGCATTAATGTCCCACAGACAAATTGTATGGTCGTCGGACGCGCTGAGTAAATATCCATTAAGATTTGGATTCCACGATAAGCCGTAACCTTCTTTCTGATGTCCCCTTAACCTAATAAGATACATTGAAATCAGTGTTGCAAAATTCACGTAATAAACATAGTTAAATACGCAGCTTCTCGTCTTTATACCTCAAATCAGGCTGACATTCGCCGTTTGGATCAGGTTTGCTAGGGTGTTTTGTATAATCGAATACTAGAACATCGCTAGAGGGTGTTTTAGTAGCGATTACGCAAGGATTCTGAGGCATGTACCTTGCTCTGTTCACTTCGCCCTCATGATTTATTTTTATTTCAATTTCTATCTTTCCGCTAACCGAGCCAAATCCTCCAAATTCTCCCTTTTCATTGTCATAGTGAGACGCGTCAAATTGAGCATCCTCGTTTGGCAACTGAACACTAGCGATAAGCAAATGATTTTGCTCGTCAGAGGTATGCGTACCTAAAATAAGTCGATGCACGGAATAATCTTTCCCTTCTGGTCTAGTTACATCGGGCAACCATTGAGCTGTTAAAGATGGCCACTCCAGAGCATGCGTCATTACAAGATCATATAAAAAAGGTGTATTCTTCTTCCATATTTTGTATTCTTCGTTGATAACTCTTTCTTCTACTGCATCGTCAAAGGTTTCTACAATAAAATCGTATATGCAAAATAAAATATACTGATCATTTAAACACTATTTAAGTACGAGCAAATACTGAAAAATAAGACGTTACAATCACTATTACGTATCAAAGCAGTTAGAAGAAAAACTATTTAACCTTCACAGAAAAAAAAACAGTTTGATCGATATACTTTTTGATAATAAGCATAAAACACAAAACTATTATCGAGTGATAAACAGATTTTGACGAAAGCCATCAAGAAAGTAAATAATATTTTAGTGAAGTATTATCTTTCTTATGAGAGTAATATAACCTGCCGGCATATTTCGCAGTTTTTTTTTTTTTTTTTTGTTCGCGATATAAAACTATTTCTTCATAAAAATTAAATATTTGAAAGAATTTCAAATAATGATCTATACTTTCAATATAAATAAATTTTCTTCAAATTTCTTATTAAAAACAATACTGTTTACTATGAGGCGGAAAGCGTCCTTTCAACGACAGACTTATCGCCTTAATTGTATGAACGATTAAAAAAAAGTAACGCGAATGCACAGTATCGAGATTTATTCTTACCACCGTCTTTATCCCCCATGTTTATATTTTGTTATATCTCTAATATAACGCGTAAAAGACCGGTAGAAAATTTAACCCGCCAAAAGTCGCGAAGCTTAACCGGATTTCATGAAAAATGCAAACGTATTTACTACAATGCCTTAAACATATGCTGCCTTTTCATGATACGATTATTAGTCATCATTTTGATGCAATATATAGCTTAATTTATATTGAAATTATTATCCTACATGTATAATATGTCACGATACGCATATGTATGTTAAATAAAATTACATAAAGAAATAAACATTGTTTTGCAAATATTTTTATTGTGCTTAAAAATAACAAAATTAATTAACCAACTATTGTATGATACGACTATTCACACGTTCAACTTCTTGCAGAGAACATTATTCACACGTCTCGAATAGAGACTCTCTAAGTATAAAACGTATATTATGGTCATAGAGCTCATGAATTGTACTATGGAAATCAGCCCAGATGGAGAAGGAAGATTGTATTTGAGAAATTCGGTCTCACTCGGTACTACACATACTATATAGATAAACATGACTGCGTCGCCCTTATGTCGCTTCCACAAATTTTACTATGTATAATGCATATACAGGGTATCTCTAAAGTCTGATCCTACCTTTATATTTCGGACAACGGTTTCAAATATGAAAAAATGTTTCAGACAAAATTTAAGATGGTGACAAGAAGTTACCCTTGAATGGTTGTATGAAGATCACGTGAGTGTCATCTTCGGACTTTTAAATAAAACCACCGATTTTTTATCGAATATTCTCGTTTCCCTCGTCGAGACGTTTTCAAAATTGACACTTAAGCGGCATAAATTTGATCGTGTAACCTTCACACGGTACACCTTGGGTACGACGAGGGCTACAAGAATATATAAAAAATGGTTGGTTCTATTTAAGAAACTGAAAATGACGTTTTACGTGACCTTCAAACGACCATCCAAAGTTAAATTGTTGTCACCATCTTATGTCTCTCTTGATATCCTACAATTTTTGTTTGAAACATTTTTTCATGAAATATAAGGGTTGGGTCGAACTTTAGAGATACCCTGTATATGCCTACGATATAGCAAATATTTCTGTCGGTTGCAAATTCTACCGCTAGGTGGGATACGTTTGCTTCGAAATGCGAATAGAATTATACACTGAACACAATGACTTTCGACTCTGTTCGACTCAGTTGTATTTAGTATTGTAGGTACATGTATAATATGTCACGATACGCATATGTATGTTAAATAAAATTACATAAAGAAATAAACATTGTTTTGCAAATATTTTTATTGTGCTTAAAAATAACAAAATTAATTAACCAACTATTGTATGATACGACTATTCACACGTTCAACTTCTTGCAGAGAACATTATTCACACGTCTCGAATAGAGACTCTCTAAGTATAAAACGTATATTATGGTCATAGAGCTCATGAATTGTACTATGGAAATCAGCCCAGATGGAGAAGGAAGATTGTATTTGAGAAATTCGGTCTCACTCGGTACTACACATACTATATAGATAAACATGACTGCGTCGCCCTTATGTCGCTTCCACAAATTTTACTATGTATAATGCATATACAGGGTATCTCTAAAGTCTGATCCTACCTTTATATTTCGGACAACGGTTTCAAATATGAAAAAATGTTTCAGACAAAATTTAAGATGGTGACAAGAAGTTACCCTTGAATGGTTGTATGAAGATCACGTGAGTGTCATCTTCGGACTTTTAAATAAAACCACCGATTTTTTATCGAATATTCTCGTTTCCCTCGTCGAGACGTTTTCAAAATTGACACTTAAGCGGCATAAATTTGATCGTGTAACCTTCACACGGTACACCTTGGGTACGACGAGGGCTACAAGAATATATAAAAAATGGTTGGTTCTATTTAAGAAACTGAAAATGACGTTTTACGTGACCTTCAAACGACCATCCAAAGTTAAATTGTTGTCACCATCTTATGTCTCTCTTGATATCCTACAATTTTTGTTTGAAACATTTTTTCATGAAATATAAGGGTTGGGTCGAACTTTAGAGATACCCTGTATATGCCTACGATATAGCAAATATTTCTGTCGGTTGCAAATTCTACCGCTAGGTGGGATACGTTTGCTTCGAAATGCGAATAGAATTATACACTGAACACAATGACTTTCGACTCTGTTCGACTCAGTTGTATTTAGTATTGTAGGTATACGAAGTTTAGGAAATCCGTCTGTATATATATATATATATATATATGTATTTTAGATATAAAAATATTTAACAATTCACTAACGAAATTATTAAAAAAAGGAAAGATTAGACGTGTAAACATTTGAGTATACTGCATGTCAACAACACGTTATTTACTATTCCCGGTATAGGTTTAAATTTTGCAAATATATCGTTAACAGATTGTCATATCATACAAGTATACCAATTATTTAAGTTTCTAACATTACTTTTAATTCTTTTCAATCATATATATTGATAATCGTCTCAAACCGAATGAACATTAATGAACAGAATATGGAAGATATTAATGCTAAGAGAGATGCTAGAAGAAAACGAATTTTAGAAAATTCGGAAAAACGTTTGTTGAAAATCACTGGTAGAAACAACGCTATTGTGTCAGAAGATCAATGTAATTTACCTACTTTAGTTGTTCAGATATTTTCCGAACCAAATTTATTATTTGCCTTTAATCAATATCACTTTCATAACTGAAATCGGATATTTTATTTGCAGCTCATTCTGTGCATTCGGATGTACCTAATCAATCATTCATCTCTACGGATATTGAAACCAAAAATTTACATTTTGGAATAAATGGCAAAATATCAGGTAATAGGATCATAAATTTAGAAATATTTTTTATATACAATACAGAATCAAAATACTAATATATGGATTAAAGTTGAAGGTACCAATAATACTTGTACTCAATTGAAACAAACATCGCACGTATTAGCAAATCGTATTAATTATGTGTTGTTGGCTGTCATCGTTAATGTGCTGCTGTTATTACAATTGGATCATTTGTTCGGAAAGGTGATTACATGTATTTGCAAAAAAATTTGTAGTAATGTTAATTAATAATGTAATATCATATTATTTTAATTAAAAATAATATACAATTACTTATTTCAGACGATCGCGATACCTTACTTTCCAATTATGTTAGGACGTCTATACAACTATAAAAATATACAAGGAACACAAGACAATAGTCTATTATACCCTGCATTAATTTTGTGTAACATTAAACCTGAGTTAACTTACCAACTTAAAAAGTTTGTAGCAATATTCCATATAATACTACAAGATTTAGCTTTGTATATTTTCAGTTTCACCCTCATACATTATGGACTTTTATATTGTTTGCGTAACACAGAGATTTTAATTCGCTTAAACACATGAATAACATTACTGTATATGAAATATATGCAAATAAGACATTCGTCTAATCGTTTATTTAAAATGTTCTATCCAAACTTTTGTAAACAGTGTGATAAATACAATCAGATCTTTAATAAGTTGTTACAATCAATATTACTTAATTAATTATAATTTTGTTGCGTAGATAAAAATTCACTGTATAATTATTTGCCATAGCATGTTGTCTATTACTGCATTATGGTATACGAATAAGATCTAAACAGAAACAAATATAAGTAAAAGATGGATGAAAACAGTTTGTTTTAAATATACCAGTGTAACAATAAAGAATAATAATAATAGTCCACTTTAATTTAATATAAATAATTGGAAATAATCTTTTTTTCACACATGACATAATCTTTACTTTCTCAGACTCTTTATATAATTTGTTATCATCCGTCTTTTCGTTAGTTTCCTTGTCACTCATACCTTCAAAACCATATGCATTTAACACATTCATATTTTTTCATATTGTCTCTTACGTTTTACTGTCTTACATAAAGGACAAGAGTTATTTATTTGACATTATTTCCTAATATCACTTGTGTACAGATATCAATTCCGCTATTTGTATAATGACTTTGTACAATGAAATGCATAATGAATAATGAAATATTTCTTTGCCGACGAATTCTACAAAATATAGTATGTATTTTATAAATATACCTGTAAACATGTCACATATAATTATATTACATTTTTCTATATATTTTATACAAATGTGCAACAACGAATTAACTGTTTTAATTAGTTTTTGAATTTATTTGAAACTATGGGTATGTATGAAAATGATATCCAAAACAAAATATTTATGATAGTCAATTTTAGTATTGCAATTGTATAAAGTAGAATACAAAATACCATAACAGTAAATGTGAGGTACGTGTATAACAAATACTGTTGTAATATATATGTTTCATTTCAATGTCACTGTACGCTTTGATTTGTTTTTGTGATAAATTTCTTACGATTTTTTCAGTGACTCTGTTTTATCCATTTTTTTTTTTCTTGGACACGTCTTAAAATCAATAATAGATCATTAAATCGTACATGTTTTAGCATAGGAAAAAAATTATAATACAATAATATAATTGTTGGTTTTATTTCTCTTCTCCAATGTTTTCAGATTTCATTGAAGTATGCTGTCTCACAATATCAAAATGACCTAAATTTATCATTTTTTCTTCCCACTCTGCTAAATCTTTCTTATATTGCATCATCAAATCTGTACAGCGAATAACATATGGCTCTTTCTCTATATTCGACATTTTCTTCCAATTTGTTGACATTGACTGCAGCCAATCCTAACATAGTATAAATAACAAATGTGATAAAATTGTTGAAAATAAAGTGTAAATAAATTTTATTATAATTTCTATTGAACAATAAAACTGTTTAATATTTTCCAATCGTTAACACATAAAATAGAAAGTAAATTTATTGTACCTTATAAGGTATGTTTGGATCTTTCTCGTTCCTTTTCGACGATATGTATGTTAGAAATGCATTTAATGGTTTTTTTGGTCTTCCAAATGCTTCTTTCTTCTATAATTAATGTTAATTAAATGAAATAATAATGGAATAATAGAAATGAAAACATTCACAAAGAGTAAATTAATATACGCACCTGCTTATCATTTGCTGATTTATTATCGTGTTTCAGAGATTTCTCTCGTTCTTTCAATAATTGTTTCTGTTCATCGGTTAAAGAATCTTCAAATCTTTTTAATTCTTTAATATAATTTTCATAATTTCTGCTATATTGTCTTCGAAAATCTTCCTTTTCTGCAGGATCTAATTCTGCCCATTTCAGAGATGCTTTCTTTACTATTTCTGATGGTTTTATACCAGGAGTTTCATTAATAAACTTTTGTCTAACTTGATTTAAATACAAAATAAATGCAGTTTGTGGTTTCTTTGGTTTTATTGGAAAAGCAGTGTCATGTATAAAATTCAGTGTATTTTTTGATACATTCTGATGTAAGTTTAACAAGTTACTTCTAAAAAAACAAAACGTATTATGGTCATTATTATCTCAACGAACACCGTTGAAAATGAAAGTCAAGGTGTTTAATAATCGTTAACAACGAAATTAGAGAAACAGTTTATTCATAGACAATTTATCTACACGTGTAGGATGCACGTTTATTAATAGATTAAAATAAAACTTCCTGTAATGTCTTCAAAAAAATATTAGAGATTTTAAAACAAAAGCAAGATTTACCTAGAACATAAGAACTTGCTGAAATCGATACAAAGTATCAATCTTCCAAATCCAGCCATTGTATATATACAAATTTTATATTAAACAACACCATTCAATGTTGCAAGAGGTAGCAAGAGATAATAGAAAAAAGAATAACTCGTGAATACAACTACGAAAGTATATACAGTATTACCACGTAAATTCCTATCCTGAAATAGGCGGCAAACGAAAATGGCACCAATGTGTACCTCGAGTACACATGCCCCCTAGCTCAACGCTTATTTTTTCCCCACGAAATTTAAACCTTATTACCAAATTTTGATTTTCTTTCATTAAATTATTTAAAAATTTTATGAGCTTTTATTATTGACGTGCCATTTTAATTAAAATAAAACATTGTATTACATTAATCATTCGTATTTGTGCTTCTCTCCACTAATTCCGTGATTCTAATATAACTTATAGCTGCAAAAATAGCGATATCTAGCAATGCTTGAAGTTGCGTTTATGCCGTGTTTCTGTCGCGATATAAGTAAAGATAGATAGTGTATCTTGATACGAATTTACGTATGGAGAAAAGTGATTGTTATATCGAGGAGGAAGAGGAAACGATCGAAACAGAAGAAGAAACGTAATACGTGAAAGATACGTTTATACGCGCCGTGGTGCGATACTGAGGGGTATATAGTATATAGGTGTAAAAGACCGTCAAGAGAGGAGGATACGTTCGAACAAAGTCGAACAGTTTCGAAAATGGCAGCCAAAAGCGGTGGCAGCGATGAGTGGTCATCGATAATGAAACCAATTTTAGCAGTATCGCATGGATCATTCGATAAAAGTGACATAGTGGAATTGGCTAAAAGTATCGTTAAAAGGTAAGGTGTAATTTTTTTCCAAAATAAAGATTCTAAAAAAATATTTGGATCGGACGTCGAAGTTTCTTTCGTATTCGCGATGACGATCCAAAAACGAATTAATATTAATACGTACCGTTTCCTTATCGATTTTTTGTTGGTTTTCCCATCATTTTCAGCGAAAATAAATTTACATCTCACGAAGAACAATATGACACCTTTTACACGTCTGTCGCAGCCCTTGCAGCCGATTATCTCAGCGGTTGTGTTAATACATGTAAGTTTTTAATATTCTTTTCTGATCTTCTTTTTCTCTGTTTTATCGCAGATAATAATCTTTCTTATAGTCACATAAATTTCTATGCAATTTCTTACTTTGTTCTATTTTAACTTTGCAGTTTCCAAAAGTCAAGTATCGATAGTTTGTCAAGCATGTAGAATATTGCTTGTATGTCTGGTGAACAAATTATCCGAAATTCAATTGGGAGATGGAACTCCTACCATTTTAAGTACTAAGCAATTGTTGCTTCCGATTCGTGCTCTTTGTACAGGACAGTCCTTGCTTACGTCTGCCGACGAAGTAGCCTTAATTGCTACGATAAAGAATTCCAAGGTACCTCCCTGCGTAAAGTCGCAGTCACCTGGTGTCAAAAAAGATTCTTCTCAATCCTCAAAAGATTCCATGAGGGTACGATGCGATTTGTCCAACAGCATTCTAGAACAATTGACTATGCCTTTACAAGATTTTACGTTATCCGTGCCTCGTGTCGTCGAAAGCTCCAATGAGAGTATAAATAAAATTACGAACGACGGCACGGTTAATGAACCTCACTCTGATGCGAAGGTACGTGTAAGATTTTAACAAGACAAAAACTGTGTACATATTTATCGGTACCATTAAAAGTGCTGGTTTCTATAATATTTTGACTTTTTACAGACAACATTCGTCATAAATAATATAAATATTTTACAAAGTATGGGTGCAGGCGATATTCTTTTGGACATGTGTTTGAATCTTTCTCATCTGTCGCGTTACATTCGTAAATATCAAGCGTATTTAAACAAAAAAGGTTTCAGTTTACCCGCTAATGCTTCGGAAGCACACGCTATACGGCATAGTTTGCATTCTGTAGCAAATGACATTAATATCGTACATAATGTAATATCTTTGCCATTATTGGAACCACTGACCCCGGTCAAACTAGAAAAATTATCGGTACTGACCATGTCTTGTCTGTATTGTTCGATCGCGAACGCGACCGCATCCAGTATTGTTGGAATAACAAATGCGGTATCACCAAAGTGCAGTACAAATACTTCTGGTGCAACACAAATTAATCAAGGCGGTAAAAATATGGAAGAAGAATATGATACCTTGGCGATTACGGTGGTAGAGAAAAGTCTCGAAATATTTGGGCTGGTTTCGAATGTAATAAGGAACAGTACACGAGCAGGCGGTCATGTAAGGAATCGTTCGTTCACATTAAAAAATTTCAATGTTCATCGAACAGATGGATGAGCTGACAAACATCAGAAAAAAAATTATATATCCACCGTTACAGATTCTACAAAATCATTTATTAATCGGTGTATGGTTATTGGTGACCGGTTTGCAAGCTCAACTTTCGGTAAGCAGTTTTAGTGCGGCGGACAAGGGTAAAGAAGAAAAGGGAAAATCGCCCAGTAAAGCGCGAGATGGAACTGCTCGTGTCAATTTGATGAAAGTGTAAGTATATATGTATGCATATATTTTTACGTATATTATGATATAAATCTATTCGTGTTTATATATATTTTGTCGTTTCGGCAATCGATCAAAATTGAAAAGGAACAAATAATAAATGAAACCTTGGATTTTAGCCAGCAAGGTTTTGGAGTGCTTTCAGTAGCATTAGCTTCTCACGCGCTAACGATAATGAGCGCTCTGTTGGAAGATGTATCTGTGGAAGCGATTACCGATTGTGCAGTACCTCCTGAGCCAGCCCCGCTAGATATTTTGTCTACTACAACAGCGCTTCAAAGGGCAGTTACTTTCCTTCAAGCAGTACCGCTTAACCATTTATTGTTTTATTTGGCCACTATTAGTTACAGAAAGGTTAGTTGCAGCGTATCGTCTGCATTCGTCGTTATTCGGATACCGATTAAACATACACTGTTAATATTTTTCTTTGTAAATGTTATCAATCGTAGGCCTGTACTTTGAAAAGGGTACAGAAACATCCTTTTGAAGGTGATGCCTTAAGCCAATCCGATTCCACGACTTATTACGAAGAGCTGTTAAGCTGTTCGGATAATTCTACCGACGAAGGTAAGAAGAAGTTGATCGTGTCGTTACAAAGTTTAAACCTTTTTTTATTTGATCGTACTTCAAGCAAAGAAAATAACATTATCGCCTTATATTCCGACGATGATACTATTTCGGTATACTATCCGTGAATGCGCAGTTCTTCGTGTAAACTTGACACAGTAAAGAAAGGCGGCCGATTAACAGAACTAACAGAACGAATACGTCTTTTCGCTATACAGAAAAATATATTATGTCGATAGAGGAGGACAGCGAACCTATTCTGGGCTTATGGTTCGAAGAAACCATTGCTCCGTCCGACGAATCACCTGCGAACGGTACGAAGGAACCCAGTAACGAAACCAGCGCCGAACGAACGGTAACTACTATCGTTCCTGATAATCGTGAACCTCATGGTGTAAGTACATAAATTTTCTCTCCTTCTCTGTCGTTTTTTCTATGCATGGAGAACAAAAAATTAATAACTACTAGTTGAACTTATTTTTGCAGTATATATCACTGGCCACTAAAATTTTCCAATTTATGAATCAACATTTAATCGGTAGTCGAAGCTCTTACGTACGCGAATATGTAGTAAACGGCTTGGTAGAACAACAGATGGTTATATTAGCAGCGATAATCAGAGATTTGGATCATGAAACTGCTAGAACAGAAACCGGTGATTAATTGATAAAGACTAATGTATTAATAATAATATATATTATTATTTCTATTGTATGAATATTTTTTTTTCTTTTTTAGGTACAATCTCGGTATTCTATGGCGCAACTTTGGGCACCATGTATTCTGAATTTTCTCAAGCTTTGAGCCGTTACACTCACAATTTACTTGCACGCAATACTTTGAGCGAAAGTTTACAAAGCACACTTCTTCAGCACTTAGGAGTAAATCCTTGGGCTGGTACGGAAAGTACAACTGCATGTACTTGGCCACTTCAAGTTTATCCCAGAACCTTGAGCGTGCTAGCACAGGTGCATATTGCTTTTTCAAATAAATCTTTTTATCGTATCGTATCGTATCGTATCGTATCGTACAACTTATACTAATTTCAAATATTAACAACGAGATAGGTTCTTTTATTGAAACCTCAATCAGAGAAAGAAGCTGCTTGTATAAGTATATGGCATAGATTAGTAACAACGATGGTAGAGAACGTGTGCAATCCACCTTCCACGTTTGAAGCTGAAAACGAAGGTAAACAATATAATATTTTCCATCCATGAGTATCTATATCTATATCGATATCGATTAGTTAGATTTAATGTTATGATCGTTAACACTTTTATAAACTGACTCGATCTACGTAATTGATAATTATTTAATACCAAAGAATTCACTCGAATTATAAACATTTAATTACCGAAAGGAAATAAAAGATTGTTCGCAATGGAAAGGATTCGAGTACAGAATAATACGGATTTATACGGACATTTTCAGACTTAAATGTGGAACATGCTCAACTGGTTTTAATTCTCTTTCATTCCCTGAATTTGATGCAAAAGAAATCGGTACTGCTTGTAACCGGAAGCGGTGCTGTACGTTGTAGCGAAGCAATTAAAACTCCTATGAAGGATTCTCAGTTGCTGCATTTGTCACGACTGTTATTATTACTCGAGTACATGATGAAACATCTTTATGACGCGCCTCTTGCTTTGCTCGAACAGGTAAAAAAAAAAAAATTTCATATCGTTGATCGATTACGATCGTCATCGAAAGCATTTGAAGTTGTTGTCCCCGTTTCTTAGAAATCTTCTTCGTTTCCTTAAACTGTATTTTTTTTCTTCTTCTCCTTTTTTTAATTCCTTTCTCTTTCCTTTCATGGGGTTATAAATAACGTTAACGAGTAACGTTAATTAACATCAAATGCGACAATAATGATGCATCACGTTCAAGTTCCGAACGAAATACGATAAGATACCAGGGCCACCAAATCGAAAGATACGTTTGAGTGGTAGTAAAAATCTTGTACATTTCTGTTTGACACGAATCGTTGTTTTCGCGCGTTTACGAATAATGCATGATTGTCAAGATGTTCTGAACGACTAACGATTATATACAGGTTCAGTGGAATCTGTTTTCGGCTACGAGTCTCGTTTGTGACACAAAAGATGGTAACAAACAAACGGCCCGAATTTTTACATCGTGGACAGAAATAGAAGATAATTATCGTAAATTCGGTAGCCAAGATGAATTTTCAATGAAGCCTCGATTTTACAATCTTTCTACGACAGATTTCAATAATCAAGATACACCAAAATTGGATGGATTGGTTAGTATCGGATGAAAGATATTAGTAAATTTTCCACGAAAATTTATACGATCGTAACGAGTTATTCTTTCATAACTTTATAGGCATGCAACTTTATTTTGGGTGCATCGGATAAAATGAAATATCCCCTGTTGGTGGATGCGTTAATAGATATATTGAACGTTTTGAACCAGACAGATACACAGAAGAAAACGAGTAGCGACGATAAAGAAAAAATGCCTTCATTTTTAGGGTTGTGTGCGATTCGCTATTGTTTCTCCATATGTTGGCGGTAAATAATAAATGTATAATATACTATTCTCAATACTTTGTAGTATTCCTTTCAATTTATTATTCGTTATTTGTTAAATCGCCAACAGTTTATTACTGATGTTACCGCCTTCTACACCGTACATGGATAAACTAGCTCTCGGCGAGGAAATTCCTGCTGGGCCTATGTTACTTTACTCTTTGGTTTGGGGACCTAGAGCTGCATATAAAACGTTTACCAGTTGGATGAAGGTAAATCGTCGGTATTTTAGCGTGGAAATGAACACTCGCAAAGAAGGACGTAAAAGGGAAAGGATAATGTTTTTATTAATTTAATAATTATTTTCTCCTAGGATTACTTGGTCAGGCAAGGAATGTATACCCAGTATGCGGAGAATCTTTTAAAAACTGTATCGTCTACTGTCAATACGCTCAAGTATGATATTACGGTTGCAAAAAATTGTATCACAGCGCTAAAACCGGAGACTAATTTTAACGATCAAATAATGCCAAAAAGCGCATTACCGAAGCTTAGTTCGTTGTGTATTTTGGCCGCGGTTATCGGCAAATTGCAAGTTCTCTTCGACGAAAGTATATCGAAAAGTCAAAACGAAAACGTCGAAAGTTCCAAGTAGGTTGAATGACGCGCACATGTGCCTAAATTTCGTTTAAATTTCAATTGCCTTTTTATATATACAGAAATTCGCAAAGTTCGGAAGCTGGAAATACAAGTGCGAATGCAACTACGAGTAGTACGAACACGAACACGAATACGAACACGAACAAAATGATAGTTAGTATTCTTCCTCACGTTCTTTCGTTAACCGAGGCTATTCTATCCTCGTGTCGGTCGAGTATACTTCACCAAATGATCGAGTCGTTGGAACAAGAAGGTAAATATGGCCCACGGGACTATTTGGTACTCGATGATATCATCGCGATGGCGGGTGCGAATTGGGCAACCGAAGCATCCTTGATCACCTTTTTACCGAACTCTTTAAAGTCGATTCTCGATAAATGGAAGTCAATTAACGTTGCACACATCCCATGGGTAAGTGGTGCCCGTTTACACACAGTCTTGTTTCAGTGTAAGAAACGTTCGTTCGAACGATCAATGCTTTTCGCACGTTAATTCCAGAACACTTACGCGAATGACATAATACCGGCGGAAAGTTACATCTTGACAACTGTCAATCATCATGTGAGCTCGCTTTCCGAATATCCAACCTTTTCTATTAATCCGTCTCTGAAGAATTTGTTGCACAGTTTGGTTACTTTTATAGTAGAATATATTACGTAAGTATTATTCTTTCGTTTCGTTAAATCTTTTTCCTTCTCTTACTGATTATTTTTGCAATTTGCCCATCTACGCGGCGTTTGATAAATTTCAAGTAATTTGTTCTCTTCATAGTCCTACCACGGCACCGGAAAACTCGGACATACGTTCACAGGCGTTAAACATCCTGGTTGCGTTATCTATGGATGCTCGTACAGATTATCTTCAAAATATGACTAACAAGGCTTTGACAAAACTTTTGGGCGACAGCGAGAATGAGTCGCGTCAGCTTCGGGAACACTTGTTTATATTACGTGACACGTACAATTTGATAATCGAATACACCAATGATACTCAAGATCCTGTCAGGTAAGTACGTATACGTCGGGTTGTCACGGGGAAATCGATTCAGCGTTCGATATTTTCGTACGGGAGTATTTCATTTGACGATCGTTGATTGTTTCAGTATTACTATCGATGAAAAGATTTTAAAACGATGTATCAAATATTGGGAACAGTTGTTGGAAAAACCAGTTGGATGCAAAGCTCTGGACTTATTTTTTGCCCCAAATACCAATCGATCTCTTGTCTCCGTCTTATTATGCATAACGTCTTCTCAGTCGTCTCAACAGTTTGCCACTTACGTTTTACGTTTCTTCAACACGTTGTTCCGGACAGGTAAATATACTGGTAAAGAACTTCCCGTTTCTTCAGTTATTTCAATTAAAGCTCGATACGCGTGTGATAATAGCTGAAAAAGGAAATTATGGATCGCTGGAACGTCTTTGTGGATCCGTATCGAACTTGGCTCATGTAGAAACGGAAAAATTGCAAACTTGGTTAAAGCAAGTCATTTTGGGAGCAACAAGTATTTCGCCGAGCGCGTCGTCGACGAACGTGCAAACGCCTACGGTAGTAACTGCGAACGCGTAAGTACGAGTTTACATCGAACATCGCTAGCTTTCGCAAATAAACGTAATTAATTGGCGATGAAAATAATTATTGTACCACGAAACGATAGGTTGGTCGCTGTTACCGGGACATCGGACGATTCACAGAAGGCAGACGAGGTCAGTAGCGCGCCTAATAACGAACAGGATCAGTGGTTAATCTTGTTGCCGGACGATTCCGTGAGTAATAATCAATCCGCAAGCATCACCGACGATCAGCAACAGCAACAGCAGTTGCAACAACAGCAGCAGCAGCAGTTGCAACAGCAACATTCGATGCATGAAAATAGTCGACTTTTACGGGCGCTTACAAATTATATAGTTAAAGAGAAAAGGTAATTCTATCTTCCCTTTCTATCATCGATTCTAAAACAATACTATTACGAATACTTAATTAGTTTGTTTCATCGATTCTATAGTAGCGTGGATGAAGGTGTTCCCGTCACGATTCTTCGAGCTCTTATACCATTGGCTTATCATATTCTTTCTTCGACGATCGAAGGCAATGGTTTTTCAGAATTAATGAACGTTATGTCGACGTTAGCGGACGCTGGTTCAGAAAAGGGTCATACGTTATTATTTAAAGCTGCGATCGAGTGGATCGAACTATGGTAATATATCATTAATTATTGTTGTAATTATCATTATTGTATGTAGGTGTTTACGAGTGCGCGAGTTGTTCGCGCGTGCAGAAATCGTCAGAGGTATTTCATGTATAATATTGTTTCCGTAGCAAAGAGCAATTGACGAATAAGGATCTTCAAAGTCTGGATAAACCATTGCCGTTCGTCGAAGCTGGTTGCTGTATACTGAATTATATAGCAGATATAGTAAGCGCGATTTGTCCACAATCGATATATTCGCAAGATCGAGCAACGAGTCCGCCGTGGGAAGGTGCGACTCCGGTTAACGACGTAAACGATAGCGATTGGGTAGATGAAATTCCCCATGAAGACGAAGACAGTGCCGCTGAGGATTCTGACGAGGACAGTCTTTGCAACAAACTCTGTACTTTCACCATCACGCAGAAAGAATTCATGAATCAACATTGGTATCATTGTCACACTTGCAACATGGTAGACGGAGTTGGTGTATGTACGGTCTGCGCTCGCGTTTGTCATCGTGGACACGATGTCACTTATGCGAAATATGGAAACTTCTTTTGCGATTGCGGTGCCAAAGATGACGGATTTTGTCAAGCTTTGACCAAAAGAAGCCCGCAAACGTCGGAACACCAAAGTAACGCTGGCGCGGTCGGTGGCGGCGGAAGCAGCAGCACGGTTGTATCGAGCAGTGCGTGTTCGACCGGTGTCACCGCTGGCCCGAGTTACACCAGTACGGCCCGAGCTTCCCAAGACAATCGAGATCTCTTTCTTACCAGTAATTTGCGTCGAAGAACATCTAGTCCTTTGTATTTTTCCGATAAACAGGAGAAACAAGGACGCGATAAGCAAAGGCATACGTGCTTAGCGAAGCAACTAGGTAATTCATTTACGTTTTCAGTTATTTTCGTTCGATCGCGCCTATCGAAAGTAAGCGCTTATCTTTTCCACGTTATCGGACAGAATCATCGAAAGAATGGATGCAAAATCATCTTTGGAAAACCGGTTTAGTTTCGTCTCTGGTCGATTTGACCCGTACCTTGGTACCGGTGGTGGACGCATCTTGTAAAAAGAATTCGGCGGTTGGTTGTCACGCGCGTGCTCAAGCGGCGCTTAAACAGTTACATACGATGGATAAGAAGTTTGAATACACCGACCAGTTAACGGTACGTATGCAACCGTACGAATGATATTTCTCTAGGCAAACGGGTTTTCTTAGACAACAATCATTGTCGTTATTTATCGAGACGATTGAAACGCAGAAACAGGCGGTAATTCGATCACTTGTTTCAGCTTCCGACATTGGGATCGCAAGAGGGTGCATTTGAAAATGTTCGAATGAATTATTCGGGAGATCAGGGACAAACCATCAGGCAGTTACTGTCCGCGCACATGATACGCCGAGTCGCGATGTGTTGTCTGTCGTCGCCAAACGGTAAACGACAACATTTGGGTGAGTAATTAGTTCGTTACGAGTAAGGTGGTTTCTTCGATTGTTCGATTTACTTGATCAACGCGTACTTTATTGTTGTTGCACAGCGGTCTCGCATGAAAAGGGTAAGATAACAGTGTTGCAATTGAGCGCTCTGTTAAAACAGCCGGATTCTTCGAAGAGAAAATTGACGTTAACCAGACTCGCTTCCGCGCCGGTACCCTTTACCGTACTTTCGGTAACCGGTAATCAATGGAACGAAGATTTTCTGGCTGTTTGCGGTTTCAAAGACTGTCACGTGTTAACGTTCAACACATCTGGAACAGTGTCCGATCATTTGGTTTTGCATCCTCAATTGGAAACCGGTAATTTCATCATAAAAGCAATTTGGTTGCCTGGATCTCAAACTCAGCTGGCATTGGTTACCGCGGATTTCGTGAAAATCTATGATCTCGCGAAAGACGCGCTTTGTCCTCAATATTACTTTTTAGTACCGACCGGAAAGATTCGGGACTGTACGTTCATGTACGCGGAAGACGGTGTTTTTTACTTGTTAATAATGTCATCGGCCGGCTATATTTATAGTCAGGTAATGGACGAAGAAAGTTTAGCGAAACACGGTCCGTTCTACGTGACCAATACTCTCGACATCTATCATCCAGAAATAAAGGATAACGGTCAAGTTGGCGGTGGTGGCGTGTCAATTTATTATTCTCATGCTCTACAATTGCTTTTCTTCAGTTATACGTGTGGTAAAAGTTTTATCGCCCCGCTGAAGTATATGGACACAGACGTGACCACCGTGTTTCAAATAAATCTCGCTGGCAATAAAAGTTCGAACGGGAACAAATCGAACAACAATCAGCCGCAACCGCTGTGTCAGTGGAGCGAAGTACCGAATCATCCTGGACTGATTTGCTCGGTCTTACAGACCAGTAACAATCCCGTGATATTGATGATCAAACCTGACACGATAATGATTCAAGAGATCAAAGTGATCCCCGCCAAGGCTAAAATAATGGATATGGTCGCCATAAGACATCCAAGTTCGAACGGCGAACATCGTACTACATTGATACTGTTGTGCGAAGATGGAAGCCTGAAGATTCATATGGCTGGAATGGAACAGACCGGGTATTGGATGTCATCTATGGTTCAACCGATTGGTGCATTATCGAACGTTAAGCCGGCTCGAAAAAAGAAAACGACCAAGACCGGGAAGCCTTCGGGCTCCGTCACTTTTCCTATCGATTTCTTCGAACACTGTCAGGCGATGAACGACGTCGAATTTGGCGGTAACGATTTACTGCAAATTTACAACGTGGCGCAAATCAAACATAGACTGAACACCACCGGCATGTACGTTGTTTCTACGAAAGCGATGGGATTCAACGTCGAAGTTACCAATAACGATCCTGTTTTGGTTATGACTGGAATCAGAGTATTACTCGGAAATCAAGATATTCAAAGAGCTCCAGTTAATATCGAGGTAGCTGTTCGATCGAGTTTATTAACGTTCACGAATTACGCGCCGTTCACCTTCTATTCTTATTTCGCTTTCGTTTCTCACGTAATTTTCAGGTGTTCGGTCGAAGGATATATACGACCGTGAACAGACATCGATGGTTCGATATTCCTTTAACTCGGGAAGAAAGTCTTCAAGCTGACAAAAAATTGACTATCACGTTTGGACCGTCACAAGACCACGAAGGAGTCATTATCGTGGATTCCATTAAAATGTAAATCGCATTGTCGTCTAGTATTTATTCTATACTAGTATTTATAATTAATGTTATTTTCATCGTTATCGATTCTTATTTAAATATTTGATAGTTAACCGATATAGATATATTTCGGGTTTCTCTTCCCTCTTGTTAACGTTTAATGTTTTATATCTGTTTTATCTAGATACGGTAAAACGAAAGACGCGTTCGGTTGGCCAGAAGAAATAGAAGATGTTTCGTCTGGTCAGTCAACGTCTGCGCCTGTAACCACGATAAACAACGATGTGGACGGTTCTCTCGTTGCGCCAGCTCCTTTGTCGTCCGTCGATAGGTAGGTGGATAATAATATCGAATCAAGTACACGTAACTCGAGTTTGTCTCGTGAAATGCAGTAAATTTATCTTGATCGTGATACAACGAAATCTTTTTTTACCGTTGCATAACGCGTTAGCACCAGGAAGGCCAATTCCCTTAATATCGAAAGGTAAGAAAAAATGAATCGAGATCGTAACGAATCCGACTAACCGATCGATATAATAAAACATATATAATCGTTCATTTTATTCGATATCAGAATCTTGCTATTTTATGCATCCTCTGTCGTAGAATGGTCGCGGGTATGTTGGAAGTGTTGGAATTGTCGTTCAATGTTCCTACCAACGATGAGAACAGATTATCGTTAAAGGCTACAGCGATCGACGTAGCGTCAAAGTTATTGATATTGCCAACTCCGCCGCTGCTACAAATCCATACGACTGCCCTTTTGGCAGCGTTGCATTCGTCCAAGCAGGCCTATCATCTGCACAAGGTAAATTACCGTCGTGGAAATAATATTTTTCACAGTGAAGTCGAAACTAATTTCAACGAACGAACGAATCAATCGTTATTTTTCAGGATCACGTGTTACTCTCTCATGTATTAGATTCGTTAAAATCAATGAGAGAAGTGAACGATGCGCGAGACATCGATGCAGAAAACTACTATAGACTCGTGCTAATTGTTCGAAGTATTTCTGTTTCGCGACCACAGAATCTGGCTAAATTTACCGATCAATATACGAATAAACCGATAGACGAGACCAACGGTAAGATTTCATCGGCGGATATACATATATCTCTTTCTATTTTCTTTCGATATGTACGATCGTTCATTTTGTCTTTTACACGATGCGCGCAGTACCAATTTTCGAAAAGGATCGACAAAACGTTCATCAACCGTGCAAAACCGTGGATGGAAATCAACAACACTTGATCGTGCAGCTTATGGAAATATTATGGTCTTTGCATATGGCATACCCGAAAAATATGGCTTTGGCACCCGTTGTGATCCCAGGATTGACTCATGCCGAAGGAACGATTCACGCGATCGTTGAAATAATTCATGCATTTACGACGTGCGACATCGAGAAGAACGTTCCTTTGGCCGCTAAATTGTATCTCCAGTTATTGTTGTCGTCCGATACAACGATCAGTTTCACCGCTAAACAGGCGATAATTCGAGTTTTAAGACCAAAGTATAAAAAAAGGAGCATTTATATACCTAGCCCACCGAACTGTAGTACTCCAGGTGTAGTAATCGTTATATTCCTATGTTGACTCGGTTTGTCCTGTATAGTCTTGCTGACGTTTAATTTCCTCTCTTGCCCGGACAAAGCAGGAATAGCAGTAGATACGGAAGAGAAGTCAACGTCGATATCCGTACAACCGCAACGAGATGCTACAGCACCAACACCGATAGCGTCTGCACCTACGTCCACATCGGCATCGGCATCGTTGTCGACATCCGTATCGACATCGACATCGACATCGACATCAACGTCGGCATCGGCATCCACGTCCACATCAGCACCGGTTCCGGTAACTTCGACAACAACGGATCGAGAAGTTGAACAACATTTGGAGGTTCAGCCGATAGGATCGGTGACTGATCGGTTAGTTTCAACTGTGGATAGCAACCAAGCGTCCGCTGCTTCTACGACCGGTGCCACGATTACAACAAGAAATACAACCGGTGGTGGTAACGCCAGTGCCGGTAGCAGCGGATCGGTCACTGCTACGAGGGGAAGTGTCAATTCTTTCGAGACGTTATTGAGTTCCAGAAACTTTTCGCAAATATTAGACGTTCCACCAGATACCGATGATGAGGCAATGATGGAACTAGCGATTGCGCTAAGCTTACAGGACGAAGGAGGAAGCGCTGATTTGCAAGTGTTGCGACAAGGATTTCAACAAAATATACCGAACTTACAAGGGTTAGAAAACCTTCAAAACTTGAGTGGGCCAACATTACAAAGTTTACAAACGTTAGCAGCACAGGGATTGGTTCAGGTTCAAGCCACGAATCAAGTAAGTATTGTCATATATTATCTAGTACCAGACGATACTCGTTCTTAACATAATAAGCGAAAATAAACTAATCGAGTGGAACGTATGCGCGATGTAATTTGGTCAGAGTCAAGAGGGCGGAGGACATTATTCGGATACGACCGCTTCCGCCGGTGGTTCAGATGACGAGGGATCAACCGCCGCTACCGATGGTAGCACGTTACGAACATCTCCGGCAGAACAAGTGAGTTTAAGTTTAGTTGGTTGGCAAATAATTTTATAGAAGACTTTTATGGCGTGACGTAAAATGAAGGAAAGGTCTCGTGAACCGATAGTAACGTTTGTAATACGTATATTGGATATTAGGGTGGTAGCGGTGGTAGCAAGGGAAGCGAGAGCGGTGGAAGCGAAAGCGGAGGAAGCGCAGTAGACAGCATGACGGGGGAACATAACGTATCAGGCAGGAGCTCCGCGTACGGAGACAATGGTCCCGATTCTATACCTCCGATCGGAGGAATTACGGTCAATCAAACGCCACGTTCCGAAAGTAATTCCGCGGGTATTACCACGGCATTCCCCGTAAGTGCTTTCGTTATTCTTATTTTCCTCGTCTTTTCCGCAATAACTTACCACGTCGCATGCACACCGGACGACTTTTCGACATTTTATGTTTCACTTCTCTCCGTTTTTCCTTCTTCCCTCTGGTTTTACCGGTAATATTATCTGTCGCAAGCAAATATCGAAAGCAAATATCGAAAGCATTGATCATCGCAACAGTGGGTTAATATCGTTAGGTTATCGAGCAAGAGGAAGGTGCGGAACAGGAAAACGTGGTTGAACAAGAAAATGACACCAGCTGCGAAACAACCGCGAAACTGCATACAGCTCGATTGTTATTGCTCGACAAACTTATGCAATTTATACCGAACTTGACTAACGTACCAGGTGTACTGGCCATTCCTTTTATGCAGGTTTGTTCGATTTAGCGAATTCGAATTTAATTCGATTGAAACTCTCTTGTACTCTCTTGTACTCTATGCCGAATTAACGAAATATTTCCTTTAGGTTCTATTAATGTTAACGGCCGATTTAGATGGGCAGGACGAAAAAGACAGAGCTTGCGTCGAACGATTGCTTCGAATATTGGTGAAAGAATTGGAAATGGATAAACCGGATACGAGTAATATATGCCAACGTAGTAACAAAAGAGAAGTTCATTTGGTTATTATGCGATTACTGAGTGAGTGTACAGCAGTGATACGGTATTAACGTGCATGCACGAAGACATAAACGTTTCTTTCAAATTTCTCGATTCTTTTAGGCGTTTTAATGTCCCGATCAAAATATACTGTAAAAACACAAAACGAAAATTCGAATTTCGTTTCTCAAATGGCAGCCGAAATACTGAGTAAAGCAGGGGTAATCGATTATTGTTTGACGTTGTCGAAAGCATTGTTGGAATACTGGAAAACGTAAGCGAATCTTTTGACGATTATTCGGTAAATCGTGTATTATTGTTATCGCTGATACTACCGGTGTGTACAGGACATCGACCGAAGAAACTGGAACCGTTCTCGGTGGTCAGTTATTGAAAGAACATCTTACAAACACTCTGCCCGACATGTCACCGTTCTTTTTACGGCAACACGTGAAAGGCCATGCCGGTGATATATTTGAGCCGTATCCACAATTATTAACGGAAATGGTATTGAGATTACCCTACCAAGTGCACAAATACGCGGAAAACAGTTCGATGCAACCGGCATTCGAACAGTCGTGGTACTTTTATTTGTGCGAATACATGATGTCATATCAGACGATACTGGTCAGACGTCAAGTACGCAAGTTGCTGCTGTTTGTCTGTGGAAATAAAGAAAAATACCGACAATTGCGTGATTTGCACGCTTTAATTTCGCACGTGCTGGTGAGTCTGTTTATTTCTTTCTTTTTTAGATTTTATTTATGACGATCTCGTATGTCGATGTAAATATACGATAGTAAAAACGTTGATATCCGTTGATCGTAGTCAGTACAGCAGTGTTGTACCGCTGGTGGATTCGAACCTCTTCAAGCGCGACCACATTCCATCAACTTGCCGTACGATTCTTTGGTGAAATTGATCGAACATCTTAAATACTGCGTCGAGATCGCTACCAGCCGCACGGGAAATTGGCAACGATTCTGTTTGAAACAGAACACGGTGCTATCTTATTTGTTTACTATATCGACGCTGTTAGACGAAGGTGTTAGTCCCACTGTGTTACAGCTGTTGCAGTGTGCTATTTGTTCGAGTAACAAATCAAAGGAAGCAAAGGATAGCAAAGCGAAGGTAATTAAGTGTGCTCGTGTATTGTACGTTCGGTGTATAATTTGTCTGTCCGTCGTGCCGCGTTTAGGAATCGAAAGCTAGCAACGCGGGAAGTAAAGAGAGACGGGAACGCGAAAAGTCCGAAGATTCCGATACGGAAGCTAAATTCGAGGAAACTCAATGTTTAGCTTTGGTCGAGCAGATTCAGAAACAAGTGTCGCCGAGCTTGTTAACAAGATTCATCCAGACTTTCTTACTCGAAACGAACAATACTAATGTACGTTGGCAGGCGCATTCCCTGATACTGGCTATTTACAAGTAAGTTACTGGCTGTTTACAACTAAAAAAACAACAGAATCCAAGTACGCGTTGCTACGAGTATAAATTCTCTGTTTCTTTTTAATTCGTTACAGAAATTGCAATCCCGCCGACCAAGAAATTTTGCTAGATTTGTTGTGGCGTTTATGGCCTCTGTTACCTGCTTACGGTCGAAAAGCGGCACAGTTCGTCGACTTGTTGGGTTACTTCTCTCTAAAAACACCTCAGGCAAACAAAAAAATGCATTGTTACATGGAGCAAGCGGTTGCAGTGTTACGCGCGCAAAATCAGTTACTCGCGCGTCACCCGAACGCGAATCTTTACGCGAATTTAGCTCAATTCGTTGAATTGGACGGGTATTATTTGGAAAGCGAACCATGTTTGGTGTGCAATAATCCAGAAGTTCCGATGACGACGATCAAACTCTCCTCGATCAAAGTCGATTCGAAATTCACCACGACGACGCAAATTGTGAAATTGATAGGTAGTCATACAATTAGTCGAATCACCCTTCGTATCGGTGATCTTAAAAGAACAAAAATGGTGCGCATGATCAATATATACTATAACAACCGATCGGTTCAGGCAGTAGTCGAATTAAAGAATAAACCTGCTATGTGGCATAAAGCGAAAAAGATCACGTTGGCTCAAGGACAAACGGAGATCAAGATGGAATTTCCATTGCCGATCGTTGCCTGCAATCTGATGATCGAATACGCGGATTTTTACGAGGATATACAAGCCTCCTCCGAAACGTTACAATGTCCACGGTGTTCGGCGAACGTTCCAGCGAATCCAGGCGTTTGCGCCAACTGCGGAGAGAACGTGTTTCAGTGTCATAAGTGTCGAGCAATCAATTACGACGAAAAGGATCCGTTCTTGTGCCACGCCTGCGGATTTTGTAAATATGCCAAGTTCGACTACACGCTCACCGGAAGACCCTGTTGCGCCGTAGATCCGATCGAAAGCGACGATGATCGGAAGAAGACGGTAGCGACGATCAACGCTTTGCTCGAAAAAGCTGACAGGGTGTACAAAAATCTCATCTCGAACAAACCGACTCTGGAAATGTTGTTACTAAAGATATCGGAACATCGGTTGGATCGTACGTTGGAAGACGGTGGTAGCGGCGCTATGCAGGTGTCTAGCGGGAGTACACAGGTGAACAGAGCTATACAGTTGCTCGCTCAGAGATATTGCGGCGAATGCAAAACCTCGTTCGAGGAACTCAGCAAAATTATTCAAAGAGTTCTGGCCTGTCGGCGAGAATTGGTAGCGTACGATCGACAGCAGCGAGGGCAAATGGTGACCGGAAATGGTAGTAGCGGTGGAGGTGGTACTACTAGCGGCGATACTGGTATCGGTACTAGTGTCGGTGCTGATACTGGTACTGGCGCTGGCATCGATACCGATACCGATACCGGAACAGGCGCCGGTGCCAGTAGTTGTTCCAACATCGATACATCGGACGTCAAGGAAGAGTGTTTAAGAACGTTGACGACGATGACGACAACGACGACGACGACGATGACGACGTCGCCGACAGCAACAACAACCACTACAATGACGATGACAGCGACGACTACGTCGTCGACGTTGACCAGCAGTTCAGCGAGTACGCCGGCCGCGATTACGACCGTGAATCCTCAGACGATAGGTCGTTGTTACGGATGCGCTACCGCGGCTACGGAACACTGTTTAACTTTGTTACGGGCTCTCGCTACCAATCAAGTAGCCAAAGACGTACTCTGTAAACAGGGATTGATTCAAGAATTGGTCGAACATAATTTGCGTAAGGGGACAGTTCAGATGCAGGAAGAAGTGAGGCAGTTGCTCTGTCTCGTAACCACGGACAACGCACAGTCTAGCAAAGAGTTATGTTCCCTGTTGACTGGTCGTATCACGTTAATGCTTCGAGGTCGTGTCGCTACTTCGGACCTAGCTTTGGCGGTGCGTCATGAAATGGCGTTATTGGCTGCGCTGATTCAAAAGGAGGACGCCTGTTGGGAACAGAAATTACGGTGCGTGATGCAACTATTTTTGATGGCCTGTAAGGAATCGAAGAGCCCAGTCGTGATGGAGAGTATTATTTTACCGTGTTTGAAGATATTGCAAGGCCTGGTGAAGCCGGAACAACCGATCTCGAAAAAGAACAAAGACAAAAGTATCGAATCGTTGGCAACGGTTCAGGCACCCGAGTGCGTCACCATCGACGTGGGCAAATGGTTAAACGGAGACTCGAAACATTCTTACTCGGAATGGATTCGTCGTATGCCGAGCAAAAAGTCGGAAAGTTCGTCTAGTTCTACGAAGCCGTTGAAAAAGGAAGAAACACGGGTTCTTTATTTGATGGAAAAGTACGGACACAGATGGCGTAATCGATGCACCAGACAACACCAACAAGGAGGTGTTCAACCACTGAAATTGGCCGACGGGGCTTGGCTGAAAGAAGTCTTGTTCAATCCAAGCTCGCGACTCGCTCGTCAAGTCGCGTGCAACATGATCGAAAGTCTGTGTCAAGGGACTGAACGAAAGAAGGAGGTATTACTCTTGTTGACCTGTTATTTGGAAGAGTTGCGCACTGCCGGTGAAAGCAGCACCGAGTTTCTCGCGTTGTACCAAAGTTTAATCCGGCAACCACCGTGGAAACAGTTTCTGGCGGTACGAGGCGTAATGACTTTGCTCGCGGATCTGCTCACCAGAGAAATCGAAGAGCTTCACCGATTAGAAGAAACGACGCTGACCAGCGACCTGGCCCAAGGTTATTCCCTAAAAATGTTAACCGAATTGATGGCAACGTTCCTCGAACAGGAGAACATTAAGCAACAGTACAAAGGTAGATTGGTAGCAGCGGTCTTGAACGGTTATCTGTCTTTGAGAAGGTTGGTCGTCCAACGTACCAGGTTGATCGACGACACGCAAGAGAAGTTGTTGGAGCTTCTCGAGGAGATGACCACAGGCACCGAGGAAGAGGCGAAAGCGTTTATGGCGATCTGCGTGGAAACGGTGCAGAAATACAGTGTCGAGGACGTACGTACGCCGGTATTCATTTTTGAACGGCTTTGCTCGATCATTTATCCGGAAGAGAACGACGTAGGCGAATTTTTCTTGACCCTCGAGAAGGATTCGCAGCAAGAGGACTTCCTTCAAGGTAGAATGTTGGGAAATCCTTACAGTAGCTTGGAACCTGGATTGGGGCCGCTTATGAGGGACGTAAAGAACAAGATCTGTCAGGATTGCGAGTTGGTTGCTTTGCTCGAGGACGACAACGGAATGGAACTGTTGGTGAACAACAAGATCGTCAGCCTCGATTTACCCGTGAAAGAGGTGTACAAGAAGATTTGGGTGATGGAAGGTGGCGAGTGCGACGCGATGCGCGTCGTCTACCGTATGCGAGGATTGCTCGGTGACGCGACCGAGGAATTCGTGGAAAGTTTGAACGCGAGCAGCGAACAAGAGGTAAACAACGAGGAGGCGTACAAGATGGCGAACGTTCTGGCGGACTGCGGAGGTCTGCAAGTAATGTTGAGCCGTTTAGCGGCCATACAGGACGTGAATCGAGCTCGGCCGTTACTTCAGGTTCTTCTCAAGCTGTTCCGGCTTTCGGTCAAGGTGAAGAGAAATCAAGAGGTGCTGAGTAAACCGGAATTAGGAGCGGTGACCGTGTTACTGGACGTTTTGCAACGTTGCCTTGCCACCGAATCGGACAGTTCACAGGCTAAAGTTACCGAGCAATTGTTGGACATCATGGAAACGATATTGACGCATGCAGCCTCTCAACCATTGTCCGCGTTCGAGCTATTTTCTCGTACGTTGGGCGGTCCGGAACACGTTAAGGCCCTCCTCTCGTGTACCCAGTCAGCCGCTGTCAGACAAAGCAACAACGTGTTGGCGCACGTCGCGCGCGTATTAGCCGCCCTTACTTACGGCAATCGAGAGAAAATGGCCCTTCTTTACGATTATTTCAAGCCCGTGTTGAACTTTTACAAGTTCGATTTCGAACACACGCCGGAGGATGAACAAAAGCTCGAGCTGTTTTGCATTCTAACTCAAGCGATCGAGCGCAACGCGATCGGTAACACGCTCAAAGATTACCTGATTGGCATGGGAATCGTCGAGCACGCGTTCGAATACATAACCGTGCACGCGCCTTGCGTGAAACCTACTCTATTGAGAACCGACAGCGACGAACTTAAGGATTTCATATCGAAGCCAGCCCTCAAATATATTCTACGATTTCTTACCGGCCTAGCTACAGACCACGAACCGACGCAATTGGCGGTCTCGCAACTCACCATCAGCATTATTCATCGGCTCGAACAAGTATCCTCGGACGAGCACGTCGGCTCGTTAGCGGAAAACCTGTTGGAAGCTTTATGCACGAACAAACGAGTCGCCGAATTGATCGAGGAGGCCCGACAGCATACTCGTAGCGAGAAAAAGCGCTTAGCGATGGCGATGCGAGAAAGACAATTGGGTGCGCTGGGAATGCAAACGAACGACAAGGGTCAAGTGATGGCCAGCGGAACGATTTTGCAACAGATGGAAGATTTAGGCGACGAAACGGGATTGGTGTGCGTCATCTGCCGCGAAGGATACAAATTTAAGCCAAACCTGGTACGTTTCAATCTATCAATTTATTTCACCTCTTTTATTTCCGAAACAGTATAATACGGTATAATACGGTATAATACGTTTTCCCAGGTTTTAGGCATATACACCTTTTCGAAACGTTGCAACGTGGAAGAATTTGAAACGAAACAGAGAAAGACAGTAGGCTATACGACTGTCACACACTTCAACGTTGTTCACGTCGATTGTCATATGTCGGCGGTAAGGTTGGCGCGCGCCAGAGACGAATGGGAGAGCGCGGCCTTGCAAAATGCTAACACCAAATGTAACGGACTGTTGCCTTTGTGGGGTCCTCAAGTTCTGGAATCGGCTTTTGCTGCTTGTTTGGCCAGACATAATACATATCTGCAAGAATGCACCAGTCATCGTGACATATCCTACCCGTCCACTGTTCATGACCTCAAGCTGCTGTTGTTACGATTCGCTCAAGAGAAAAGTTTTCATGAAGATAGTGGAGGGGGAGGACCTCAGTCGAACATGCACTTGGTTCCCTACCTGCTTCACACCGCTCTTTACGTGATCAACACGTACGTTCGACTCTCTTTTTTTCTCCTACATATATATTCTCTGTGCGTATGTATAATATATATATATATATATATATATTTACAGCACGAGAGTAGCCGCTCGAGCGGACAAAACGTTAATGGGATACTTAGAAACACCACCCGGTTCAAGTTGGCTCGACAGTTGTTACGAAGCTGAAGGACCATTTTATCAATGCACCATGTCTCTTTTGCTTCTTACACCGGCCCGCTGGAATACCCATAGAATCACTCATTTGAACAGATTGATCGTTCTTGCCCATCAACGATACCTTTCACCGTTATGCGCGACCAAAACGCTCGTCGATGCAATCGATAGGCATTACGTAATATACAAAAGCGCCTTGATCTTTTTTGGATTAGTCGATTCTATTTATACCAATTTCTTCAAGGTACGTTCTTCCCTTTTTATTTTACTCGACATCCATCGCTTACATTTTATCCTCCTTTTCCTTTCAGAAAGTCAACGTACTGACCGATGATCAGTGGCCTTCGGTCTTGGCCGAGTACATCAGGCATAACGACGAAGCTATGCTAAAAGCATCGGAACGCGTACTCGCCGCATACCGCGACGAATTATTACCTTGTACATCTTTCGAAGAATTCTGCGACGTTGTTGGTAAGGAAAAAAAAAACAACAATATTTAACTTCTTTCCTTTTCCTTTTCTTTTTATTTATAAAATGCGGTAAAAAATTTCTTTTTCTAATTATTACGTTCGATTTTTTGTTTTAGGCTTATTGGAAGAAATACCCGATCCTTCCACGTACATAAGCGACGTTTTGCGAAAACTTGGTTAAGCGATATGTATGCTATTGAAAGAAAATTCTATTCTTCCTATACACCCTCTTCCTCTCCCTCCAATTTTTAACATAAATCTCACTATTTATGTCTTACACTTCCAAATTACATTTCTTCTACTTTCGTTGCCTTTGACTATGTGAAACGTTATTTGTGTATAGCCTAGTTCTTTTGCCGAATCACCGATTGCTTTCACCGTTGACGGTTAACGTAACGTTAGCGAAAACCGTTACTCCGATTAATATACTCGCACCGCTGTGTACATTGCGGATCATCTTTATTGCTTTTGGTAGAATAAAACGAATATTCGGTGTATCGCGTGGTGTTACTCTCGACTCTACGATTATATGTTAAAAAACAGAAATAAGAAACAAATATGTGCTTTAATAAAATGTGAAATACCGATTTATAGTTTTTATACTTCGATCCGATAACATATAGATTAAGCGAAAGGAAATCAAATTTGCGAAACAATTCATCTCAGGTACGAAAATATATTTCTTTCGCCTCATTTACATATATATATTTTTACGTTACAAGAATTCATTTTTATTCCTTTACTCTTTCTGCGATTTTCATTCTTTACACACATATAAACATGCACATAGGCATATATAATACATGTATACGTACATACACACATCATGTGCGTGTATATGTATATATTTTAGTTTTCTTTTTTTCTCTTAAGCGAGATGATACAAGATCGATGCAACGTCTTAAAACCTATGTTCGATTTTTTTTTCGGCTATAGATAAAAAGAGTATGTTCCTTTTATGTTTATCGTAATCATAATCGATCAACTATAGAATAAATATGAAAACGATAAAAAGAACAATCGTCGCCTAAATATAACTTTTAAAATTACATTTTATATTCCTATCCTTCGGTTTCTTATTACTCTTAACTTTGACCGTAATTGTTAATAAATTACATCTATATTATTCAGTTAATTGAACTCTAATCAGAATTTTTGTATAAAACAGTGCTGCGTCAAATACGTTTGCCTTATGCATTCAACACTCTACTCGACACTATATTCGATAAAAATTATACGTTCCATTGCACGCATCCTGCGGTTTCTTCGCTCGCGCACACAGCACACACACACACACACACACACACACACACACACACATATACACACATACGCAGTATACACAATTCTTGATAAAAATTACTAAACATTGGTAAAATTATAATTTTTTATAAGAAACTGTAAAACTGAGTAATTATACAGGGTAAGAAAAAAGGAGAAACGGAGACTGTTTCTGGTAGGATGCGAACGTCTTTTTTCCTCTAGTACCTAAGATTAAACATCGTAAACAACATTTCCATTCTATGTATCACTCTTCCATAGTTTAATAGTCTTATCATTTTCGAGAGCAGCCGAAGCTATAATGTTGTCTGTCGGATGACACGTCGTACAAAGCACAACATCTATGAATCGATAAATTGTCATTAGTACTCGTACGCGCGATATCGTTAGTTTAAATTCATTAGTAACTGTTTAAACTATACCTGTATGACCTTGCAATTTCTGAACAATTTCCTTTGTCTGCAAATTCCAAATATATACCATGTTGTCTTCTGAACCTGACACGATCCACTGTACAATATAAGATACACTGTATGGTAAGCTTATCCCAATTAACAATTTAAATTCATTCAGCCACGACTTACCTTTCCACCCGTCACCGAAAAATTTGCAAATATGCAATACTTTTCATTTTTATGACCTGTGTATGTTTTTAAGCATTTTCCCTTACTATAATCCCAAAGTTTCAACGTATTATCTAACGTCGCTGCTAAAATGTATTTTCCATTTGGCGAAAATTTGACGAAAGATACCGGTGGATTGTCGTCGTCTATTAAAGTTTTCAAACACTGACCGGATGCTGTGTCCCAAATTCGACTATACAATCGTGTATCTCTTACTAGAATTCTCTTTTATATGTATACATGTATTTGCATCGAAGCATGCACGAATTCGTGCACTAAAGTAAACATGCGTGCTTACCATAACCCGTCGTAACTACTAGACACGATCAGCGATCCATCCCTGTTAAAATGAACAGCACTTACGGGATCGGAATGAGCGGGTAACGTTTTCAGGCACTTTCCAGTTCTAACATCCCATATTCGAACACTTTCGTCGAACTGGCAGCAACATTCGTTAATTAATAAATACGCAACACGATACATGTCTATCTATTTATCTAATAAAGATCTATCAAATAATGATATGATTCGTGTATGCAAATCCTTCCAGTTTTAACACAACCACATAACAGCGGTTAATAAATTTTCAAGTACTTTTGAAAATGCGCCATTGAATATTGTATCAATGGTTTAGCTCATAAATATTATATGTCCACATTTAATGTTTTCGATAAAAACTACTTAAATAATGTAACGACGATCATTGCATTGTATTTACTAAACATTTGTGAAACCAAAAAAACAAATTTACACGATTATTACTAAACAGATTTAAAATAGATAGAAATATTATTTTTAATAAATTCATGAAGGAGATATAAATGTGTGTTTTCGAAAAAGCTTGAATTTCACGAACGGTGGACCTATAATATTTGCGTATTAAGTAATTGAAATACTGTTTTCGCGTTTGAATGTACTTAATTAACCGTTTATAGCACAGAGTAAGATTACGTGTACAGTAATTTAGAAACTTGCATTCTATGATTTATGGTAAAATTCAACACCCAAGAAAATGCATATAGAAATACTTACAGAACCGGAAACTATCAGGTTCGACTGCGGATTAAAGTTGCAACAAAATACGTAATTACTATGGCCTTTCAATGTTTTTAGACATTTCCCCTAAAAAAGAATGCAAAAAGAAAATTCAATCGAAACCATGAAATTTCTAATATCTTTTATAAATATTTTGTTCTTATTTTTTCCTTTCTTTCATTTTTTTCCCTCTGTTATTTCTTTGCTTAAGTTCAAACTTACAGAACTTAATTCCCATATCTTTAAAGTTTTATCATCGGAAGCAGACACTAGTAGTCTACTATCGCTAGACCACGCCACATCTGAAATACCGAGCTTATGACCAGATATGGTTTTTTCAAATTTTCCATCGTAGGATCCCCATATTTTTATTAATTTATCTGCAGCTATAAACATAAAATTCTTTATAAATATTAAAATTTATTTACTACAAGGTGAGAAATTAATTTAAACGAATATTTAGAAGAAATTATTTATTTACAAGAACTGGCTAGCCATTCTCCATTGGGACTGAATTTCACAGAGGACACTGCTTTGGTATGACCCGCCAAAGTGTATTTTAAAGTGTAATTTGGTTTCTGTAAAAAGTGGCAAAAATAAAGAAAAATAAATAATCCAAAAACAAAGTAATTTAGAAACAAAGTGAAAGAGTTGAAATGGCAAAGGAACGTGTTTAATTTCACTCACCAATGTCGAACTGCTTTTCGTACCAGTCGCTGGAGCACTTGCAGTGTTATTAACGGATGTTTGATGTCCCGGTGATGGTCCTAGTGGTACCATTTTTAACTGTATTCCGTGAAACGTACTGGTAACTTACGAAACAGAAACTGAAGTACACATGTAAACAAAGGTTACGATCAATCACATGAACAAATACAACGCTTTTAAGCACATTTGTTCCTTATTTCTTTGTATTATTCGCTTTCTATATTCGTTGGTTTTATCTCTTGATCATGTAACACATTTATCGATTAAATATTTTTCTGATCTGTGAAAATTTGGTGCATCTGCAGGTGCTCGTACTTGATTACTTACGCATTCGCATGTATTTATGTATACACATACGACAACTGTGCTGTACGTGCAACGAAACGGAAAACAATAAAACCGCTACCTTCGTAACATTATTGAATATCCAACTATTACGATTAACGCCACCTCTCGGCAAATGAAGGAAATAACAAACCCGAACCACTAACTAAATATATAGCAAGACTGGACACGTCTTTGTCGTTGACTGAAGATAAAAAAGACGTGATCAGTCTCGTTACATTTGTAATTATTACCTGAACTATACAAATTGCAATCATTGCACTTCGCTATATCTGACACTCGCAACAATTCACAAAAACGCTATGTGTGTACATTATGTACATTTGTAGTTGCTGTTTAAAAATAAATAAATATATGACAGTAAAATAAAAGACTAATAAATAAATCAATATTAATAAATAATGCGATCACAAGTAGAATCCGGAGCTGAATTGCTCACGAGGCTGAATAGTAAATCGAGTTTATACGGACTTGACAGCACGTTATTCTTTGATGGACTCCGAAATACGGATATCGTAGAAATTAATGGAGAACAATCAACTGGAAAAACTCTTTTTCTTTCTAATATACTTGCAAAATGTATTTTGCCAAATGTTCTGCAAATCAAAGGTTGCAACGCTTCAGCTATTTTGATAAATACGGATCATCATTTTCAAATTTCAAAATTGGTCGAAGTAATGAGTAATATAATAAATGGTGGTCATACCGTGTCGTTCGCGTCAAAAACGGCTGAAACAAGTTTTGATAAGACAGCTATTATACAAGATTCTTTATGTAATTTGCGCATCATTGATTGTTACAATAGCGAACAATTTTCTTTAACATTACACACGTTAGAAGATGTATTCCTTAGTAATGCTGGAATTGCTCTTTTAGCCATTGACAGTATATCAGCATATTATTGGCAAGATTGCGGAATTAATACTATCGCTACAATTGATTCTCATGTAAGAAAGTTATTGAAACTTATTAGAGCATGTACAACACGATTCAATGTTACTACCGTGTATACTAGACCCTGTGAAACTTCACGTTACGAAGAAAAGAAATTTACGGGAAACTTATTTGGAAATATTGATTACAGAATAAGTTTACACAGAATGCACGATCCAGGCAAATTTATGTGCACATCGGAAACAGTACAAACGGTTAAAAAAATATATTATTCAATTTTATCACACGGTATCGAATGGAAAATGAATAAAAACTCCTAAATGAATAGAAACTTGTATTACGTTTGTAAACTTACAAATTTATTAAAAAATAATCAATGGAAGAATATTTTGTTCACTATGTCTAGAGGATTTAGCAACCTGGAACCTGCTAATATCACAGACGATGGTTTTTTAATACCGTGAACCGATACAATTTCTTGAATTATCTTTGCTTCTTCCACTGTAAATCCCCCGACGATATATATTACAACGTAGGGATTATCGCAAGGACGATGCTTTGTTTTACCTCGCAAAATTGAACTACGGTACAAAAAAACTTAACCAGTGTCCTATACATCTATTCATAAATAATTAAGTTATACATTACAAAGAAGCTTACTTAAAACCAGCTGAAATAAACGAATACGGTCTCTGATGAAGATCTCGCAATTCTCGACTGGTATCCGAACAAAATATATCCTTGACTATCTGTTCTAAAACGCTAACGCGTCGAATCGTCTCTCGTGAATTTGGCTTTAACGTACAAAATCTACGAATAATCACTTGTTTAAGTGATAATAAAATTTCATTCGCTTTGGATACATACATGGAATATTAACTTAAAATTTACTTGTAATCTTGTAACGTCGAACGTTGTTCCGCTACAGATCGAAGAGTATCAATGATACGTGCTGCTATTCTGTACGATGTCTCTCGCGCCACACTAATATCATGCGCTTCTAAAATAAAAAAAAATAAAATAAAATATTACTGTAAAATATTTGAGAATGGGCGAATATCGAACGGTGCTTACCCAGCAGCGATAAAGTAAGTTGATACGTTGATTTTTTGCTGGTTAGTAATGGATTTTCTTTTAAAATTTGAAAATCTTCAAAAATCGCATCCGCGATCGACTCTTCCAATTGACGTTCTTGCTGCATGGAAAATCGAATTTGCGTGCCCGCAAGAGCGTAAATATGCGTCAACAATGCTAGCAGATTTTCGATATCGAGTCCTCTTTGAATTCGTGTTCGCACGATGTTACTCAACTAAATAAAAATGTTGCTTCACGAAATTTCCATCTGACTAATAAGAACTTATGAAATTTAATAAATAATTACTTGTACAAGTATACTCGATGATTCTCGGCTTGCGGAAAGATTTTGCAACGCTAACTTTTCCAGACTGGTAAGCAGTTCAAGCTGACCCGCCTTTTGCGACGTTAACGTTTCGATTACCGCCAAAATACACTGCGATCCAAAATAAAGATAATTAATAAGCAAAAAAAAAACATTAATTAGATAAGTGGAAATTAGGAAAACCTGACCTGAAGTTGCTCTGCGTGTGTCATTATAGAATCAATGCTTTTTATAGTTTGGATCTTATTAAGAACCTTTTCTAAACTATGACCAGAAATTCTTGCCGGTGTTTTCAATTTTGGACTATCTTTCGTCGAAGACATATCATTTAGAGATTGATTAGCAATAACTAATAGTTCTTTTTCCGTTTGCGAAATAAGTAGATTCATAGTTGCCTCTTCCATACTCGCTAAACATCCTGGTGTTTCGTACGCTTGTAGAATTCCCTTGAAACACAAAAGATCGAATGTACATATTTATCTAACTCGAACAATAAAAGTGTTTCAAGTTTCTGCGTAGACAGAATAAGAATGGATGATACGTTGTATTTACCGTTATAGTTCCAATTACCGGCGACATATCTATTGCTACGTCGTTACTGTGATGCGGCAAACGAGGAAATGTTCGTAATATTTTTGTAAGAAAAGATCGAGTATTATTACTTGTAGGTGTACAGAGGTCCAGTGTTCGGTCAATTAAAATGACAGATACCCCTGTCGTTGGAATTCCTGTTACATGCTAAATAGGCAACGAGTAAAACGATAAATAAATTACTTTATATTTATTTGCAAATTTATTTCCTACATATTTAATGAATTACTTACATTCTTTTGATGAACATTGGTTATATAATTTTCCAAATTCTCTGCTAACCGATTACTTAATTTTCCAACCGAATAGATGTCTAATTTAGCACCTATGGTATCAAACAGTTTGTAAAATGACTTGGCTAAAAGATTTAATCGAGAAACTGTATCTTCCGATAGATTCGCGTCTAAAGGTGGCATTAGATCTCCAAAGGGAGGTGTCACGAATAGATTTTTGTTTAAAAAGGCAACAAAGAGTGGCATATAGATAATATCGACAACAGGTTCCTACAAATAAGATTATTTTAGGATATAATTTCAGGTTCTTCGATTAAATAAAGAAATAATTGGCAAACTTGTGAAATATTTTCTGAAATCATCCAAGTTTTAATGTCCCTTTTTAATTTAGTATAGTCCAGTTTGCCATCAACCAACGCATCTGGATGATCAGAGGTGCAACAAGGAGCTCCGCAATACACGATGCAGCTTTCGAATGCATTTTTTGCCAAAATCAGTCTAATGGTTCGCTGATAAAATGCTGGATCACCAGATGTCGAGACGATAACAGCTTTCTTAGTATTATTCACTTTAACGTACTGTTAGAGTAATCAATTTTAAAACTACACTTTTTACATTTAAAACAGTTACAATTACATTTGTAAAAATAATGTGTACACGTACTTGAAATTGATACATGCCAAATTCATAAACAGCAACGGCTCCTGCATCTTTTAGCGCTAAATATCCTTTACCAGATGTGTACCAATGTAAGCATTCGATTGCTGCATGATCTATATAAACTACTGTATCGTATACTTGCGCAAAAATATTTGCCCAACACTCAGAAATAAAATTTTTTGTTTCCAAAATTATGTCAGTCATTTTCGTTGATCTATTTCATTTGACATATCTTTTCTCGGATGTCATCGTTAATAAATCATTTACTAATAGATATATAAATTTTTGACAAAATATTATTCTTAGTATAACATATAATTAACCACGCATAATTCTATAAAACATCGAACTTGATAAAATAAATGAGTAAATGCACGTATTTGTATAGGTTACTGCACACTGTAAATATACATTTATATGAATGGATTTACATACAGCACATGCGTGTGCGCGCGATAAGCCATAAATATATATATACATTTATGCATATACATGACACAATATAATATTACCGACTAACATATTCCATAATACGACATATGTCGTTTTCGATAGAGACGCATAAAATTAATGAATAATAGAAGAATTATTCGCCGTTACTGAAAGAAAAAATTTTAATTAGCCAAAACAGTTGGACAGAAAGAATGCTCGATCGAGGAGCCAACACATACGATCAAGACGAGCACTTTGATTATTCGTACAGCGCGCTCAAAGTTTAATTAAGGATAATCGAGAACGATAGATTTTTTCAATCGAACAAACGATTCGATTGTGCGTGAAAAGTTCGTGATCCCTCGATCGCCTGATCGATCAATTGTGTTGGATCGAGATTTGATTTTCGATTTAAAGTACAGCCATTTGTCGAAGAAAATTCTAACCTACAAAAGAAAATGGTTGTGCGTCAATGGAAGTGTTGTTTTGGGGATAAAAAAGACAACAATAGAGAATCGTGATCGTGGCGGGCTGAATCGAACGAAATAAATAATCGTGAATATTAACGAAAGTCGATATTGTGCAAAAGCGATCATAATCGAATAGGTAGTTGTTATTCTTTATTCTTCGACATTTTATCCGTACTATTCGTCTAATTTGATTTTTAGGTACTTGGTGAAAATACGTAGATTTATTGTACAAAGAACCGAAAAAAGTGATCTCGTTTTCTATTACAGGTACAATCATTGCATTCTTGGACTGTAATTTCGAAACGTTTAAATTCGCATAACGCACCGTAGAATATCGATAGGATTATAAAAGAAGACGAGTAAAAGTATATCGTAATATCGATTGTTCCACTGGACATGTTTAGTAATGTCGTCAGCAAATAGTATAGAATCATTGGGATCGCTGCAATGGGATATGATCGAGTTGGCCAGTCATTTGAGACAAGAACGTTTGTTCGTCAACTCGGAGCAACAAAATTTACAAGCGCTAAACGAAAAAGTAAGCAATGATCGCTGTATAAATTGTAGAAAAAAAGGAATAAGCTTATGGTAGGAAGAGGGGGAGGAGAAAATGGAAGAAATAAAGGTAAAAAAGAAACTAAGTAATTGTCTGTATTCCTCAGGTATTGTACTCTTCGTCGAATTTGGCTCAGCAGGCATGGATCACGGCACAGCAAAGAGTTAATTTAAATCGACTGATAATGTCTAGACCGGATTGTACTCCGGCATCTTGTTGTCAAAGAGCAAATATGTTGGAAAATTCTCATTTTATCGACGCGTACAAGTATTTACGGTATCAAGCTTGTTTATCCTACGGTGAATTCTTAGGCGCGCTTAGAAAGTCTCCAAAACTTTTGGCACTATGTTTGGTCGAAGGTGAAAAGTTGGTGCCCGATTTGGTACAAAGCATCGTACAGTCGTTAGCTGCCGGTTTATACGGCAGCTGTTTATTGCCGGAGGATAAGACGTTGGTTTTAAAGTTACTCAGACACTTGATGCTGCTGCAAATCGTTCCCTCGGATAATCCTCGAAGATTACTTAGACACGGGACGTGCGCTTTCTCTAGGTTTTACTCGGCTTTTCACGAGAGTTTGTTCTCGGCAAAATTCTTCTTAACGGCTGCTCTACACAATCCTATTGTACAGTTATTGATGGAGGATGAGATGTTTCTCGATATCGATCCAGACAAGGCACCAGTAAGGTTTCCTCCATCGGAAAGATTAAAGAAATTTGGCAAGGAAGGTACTCCCGAGTACGAGTCAAAATTGCAATGTTACAGACTCTGGACGATCAATTGTTTGTTTCATATTACCCAAAGATTCATAGTGAGTATACGAGAAAATATGCATTGCTTTCCTAGCAGTGTGTGCTGGTTGGTTAAGCAGATGGCAGGACTTTTAAGAAGAAACGGAAATGTCGATCGAAAAGAAGTTCATGCGATGTGTACCGATTTGGTTTTTACGTATTTTATTTGCCCGGCGATAGTAAATCCGGAGCCGTACGGTATCACCGACGCGCCTATCAGTTACATAGCCAGATTCAATTTGATGCAAGTTGGACAAATTCTACAGATGCTTTCTCTGATGAAGTATCAAACGGTCGATGGGAAAACGTTCGATCTTTATAAGAGATTCGACAAGGAATCCGTTTCATCCGTAATCGATGCAATGGTGGAAGGCGACGCGACGGACGAACTCGAGGACGAGCCTAACGTGATCGACGATAATAAGCTTCGAGGACTCTCGCGATCTGCCGCTTTGTTCACCGAAACCGAATTGAACGCGCTGATTACGTTTCTGCAAGCTATCGCTACAGAAACTATCGTAGAAAATGCTTCGCGATCAACCACCACTGTCACTACCATCACCACTACTACTACTACTGCTACTACTACCGTTACCACCGCTACCACAACCGGCACCACCGTCACTACCACGAGCAACTTCGACACGAAACAATTGCTCGACATGCTTTCGCAGTTACCATCCGGTTCTTTGACTACCAATAAACTGGCTAATAACGTATCCGTCGAAACTTCCAATAAACGGGGTGGTCTTTTAGGAAAAGGTAATCATCTTACAACGTTACTTCTCGTTCGTTCACTTCCTCTGTATTTTCCTCTGTATTTTTCGCTGTAGCTGGGCAACGTCGCTTTTATATTTTTATATCGCGTAGTGTCGAGACCGTGCGTAACGAAGGTATCTTTACAACTATTCTTTCGATTCGATAAACGATATGTATCGGTTCTCGATCATAACCGTCGTCATAATCGTAATCGTTTCGTATCGATAAGAAAGGAAACATGTCTCGTTGGAAGGAAACAGTTTGCTCGTTCGGTGCTGTCGTGATATTTTTCAAAATCATTTACGCGCAGTTTGATAGAAAAAGTAGACGTATCCGTGGAGCTGATTCGATAAAAATTTGCCGATTACGCGGGAATGCGGAGTCCGGAGAACCGTGCAAGAATTGTCCGAAGATTAAACGAGAAAAAGCCCAAGTAAAATATCAATGAAACAACGAAGAAGGTTGAGTAGGAAAAAAAGTGAATGAAAGATGTTAAAGTTTATCTTGTTTCTTTTTTTTCCCCGTAGGGAAAAGTCGTGGGGTTCGAGTTTCGTCGTCGTCGTCTTCCTATTCATCGAACGCTACCAATGACGGTGGAGACGAATTGAACGGTACATCCACCCCCGAAGAAGAATCATCCATCGAGAAAAATCCTCAGGATGTTCTGGTCATTCCGTTTGGGCCAAACACCGGCGAATTCGTAGGGCTTCTCAGCGAACAAAAGGTACGTGTTCTCTCTTATTGTTCAATCAATGCAAACATATCTGTTTTTTAATACGTTAGGTATTGTGTACCGAACTCGGAGTCGATAGAGAGAATGGGACCGTTGCCATGAATCTTTCGCACGACGTGCCCGACGTACGCATCAGACGAGAAAGTTGTAACGGTGGTCGTGGTATCGGCGATACCGGCGGCGGTGGCAGCGGTAGCGGTGCCATCGAACGCATCGAAACTCAGGAGAAAAGGACTCGTTTTTCTTTATCCCACGACGAAGGTATTGTTTTTAAGATGATCTCTATCAAAAATTTATATAGTACAATTCTAACGCGATTAGTATAATTGTTTTATTTTTCTAGTTTTGTTCGAAGGTTTAATCGGAAATACCTCGGATAATTTGGAAGCTGTTTCGGAAGCCGCTTCGAATCACAGCGTCGCTTCGTCTCTTGAATTAGAAACGGAGGATCAAAACGACAATCTGTCGGACATGGTGTCTGCGAGCGTTTCCGGCAGAGGAACGCCCAATATATCGGGTTCGTTCGATATAACATTTCCTCAAAATGAACGCGAACTTCGAAAAGAAGGAAACAAGGAGAAAGGGAAATAAGGAAATAAGGAAGAGGTAGGCAAGAAATAATGTAAATACGGTCGTTTGCCATAGGTCGCGATACACCGTCGTCTCAAATCACGGAGGGAGACGAAGGTAGAGCAGCGGGCGAAGGGCGGCAACTAGATCTACCACCCTCGAATATGCCGACCAAACAAAGTCGCTCCGAAATAGACGACAAGTTTTGCAAATTTGAAATAAAAAAGCTGATAGAAGGTATAAGTGAAAACCGTAGCGACATGAAATAGTTTTATAACATAGTTTTAGTTTTCGATTCTTTTCTTTCTTTTTTATCGCTTGCAGGAGATGAAACCGTCTCGATGGTGTCCGATACCTGGTCCACGGATGTTTTGGCTTCGGATAGCGAAATGGTCGAACAACAAGAGAAAGTACTTTACCCCGCTTCGAGTGAGCAAACGGCTCCGGTACTGTCAGCGACGAACGAATCGGTACCGCAAGCCGTGCTAGACGTTAGCGAAACCGCGTCCGAAGCCTGGAGTACCGACGTATTGGCCAGCGATTCCGAGAGATTGACCGAAGTCGATACCGACGATACAGCTAGCGTTGCGAGGTTTGTCCTCTACATCTTTGTGTCTTATACGGTTATAGACTTATTATAACTTATTATAAGACTTATTATACGTACATTTCCGTATGTATATTAAAAGATTTTTCTCGTTTTACGCTTACGACACGGCTCGTGTCGTCTCTTCGTCGTTTGTCGATTGTATTTTTTTAGATCCGACGACACGGCGAGGTCCGAGATCGAGGTCGAGGCTCGCAGCGAACCAGAAGCTACCGAAGAGACGTTGACGCAAAACGTTTCTCGTAAGAATGCTTTCACCCGATTTTAACCAGTTTTTAGGCACGATACTCGTGTTTATTCGATGTTTCGTTTCTTTCTCAGAAAGCACCGCACCGACCGAATGTACGACGACGACTAACCAACAAGTCGCGATGCGATTTCCTGCCAACGTTTCTCTTTCGCCGACCGCTTTGCCATCTTCGGTATCATTTTCGAACATGGCCGAACGGAACGCGAACGACAAAATCGATCATCAAAGTACCGTGACAGAATACGTGGATAAAAACGCGAATAATATCGGCAATCTAATGGATTATAACAAACCGTTACGAGAGGATAGATTAGTCTATTTGATAGATAAGCTACACATCGAGAATGGAAAGGGTCAGGTGGAACGGCAAGCTTCGACTCATAATCGCATCGGAGCCGCGGCCGTAGCTCCGACCTTGCTGTTGGCGAATCATATTTCGCCGCCTATTTTGTCGAGTGTCAAACGATCGTCGAATATCAACGTGAAACCAGAGGTACGTTATCTCGACTCTTTTTATGTTTATCTTTCTCTATCTGAAAAGTGTTGGTCGTTCATACGTATTACGCGTTTCGAGCAAAAATCTTCAAGTATCGTTTGATCGCAGAAATTGGAAAGCAGCGGTGTCGTTGGTTCGATCGGAGAGACAGTTAACGAAAGCTGCGTCATGGACGGCGTAGTTGGATTCGGTGTCGGTACCGGAAGCTTAACGTCGAGCAGTAGCTCTGGCTCGGAATCTCGATCGAAAAATGTTAATTCGATAACGGAGCTACCGTTCTCGATGGTGTCCGATACCTGGTCCACGGATGTTTTGGCTTCGGATAGCGAAATGGTCGAACAACAAGAGAAAGTACTTTACCCCGCTTCGAGTGAGCAAACGGCTCCGGTACTGTCAGCGACGAACGAATCGGTACCGCAAGCCGTGCTAGACGTTAGCGAAACCGCGTCCGAAGCCTGGAGTACCGACGTATTGGCCAGCGATTCCGAGAGATTGACCGAAGTCGATACCGACGATACAGCTAGCGTTGCGAGGTTTGTCCTCTACATCTTTGTGTCTTATACGGTTATAGACTTATTATAACTTATTATAAGACTTATTATACGTACATTTCCGTATGTATATTAAAAGATTTTTCTCGTTTTACGCTTACGACACGGCTCGTGTCGTCTCTTCGTCGTTTGTCGATTGTATTTTTTTAGATCCGACGACACGGCGAGGTCCGAGATCGAGGTCGAGGCTCGCAGCGAACCAGAAGCTACCGAAGAGACGTTGACGCAAAACGTTTCTCGTAAGAATGCTTTCACCCGATTTTAACCAGTTTTTAGGCACGATACTCGTGTTTATTCGATGTTTCGTTTCTTTCTCAGAAAGCACCGCACCGACCGAATGTACGACGACGACTAACCAACAAGTCGCGATGCGATTTCCTGCCAACGTTTCTCTTTCGCCGACCGCTTTGCCATCTTCGGTATCATTTTCGAACATGGCCGAACGGAACGCGAACGACAAAATCGATCATCAAAGTACCGTGACAGAATACGTGGATAAAAACGCGAATAATATCGGCAATCTAATGGATTATAACAAACCGTTACGAGAGGATAGATTAGTCTATTTGATAGATAAGCTACACATCGAGAATGGAAAGGGTCAGGTGGAACGGCAAGCTTCGACTCATAATCGCATCGGAGCCGCGGCCGTAGCTCCGACCTTGCTGTTGGCGAATCATATTTCGCCGCCTATTTTGTCGAGTGTCAAACGATCGTCGAATATCAACGTGAAACCAGAGGTACGTTATCTCGACTCTTTTTATGTTTATCTTTCTCTATCTGAAAAGTGTTGGTCGTTCATACGTATTACGCGTTTCGAGCAAAAATCTTCAAGTATCGTTTGATCGCAGAAATTGGAAAGCAGCGGTGTCGTTGGTTCGATCGGAGAGACAGTTAACGAAAGCTGCGTCATGGACGGCGTAGTTGGATTCGGTGTCGGTACCGGAAGCTTAACGTCGAGCAGTAGCTCTGGCTCGGAATCTCGATCGAAAAATGTTAATTCGATAACGGAGCTACCGTTATCGGCGGCCACTTTGGTAGGTGAAAACTGTTGCGGTACGATCGATCTTGAACCGAGCGATTCTCCAAAGCCAACCGCATCTAGTGGCGCTATACCGAAAAGTATTAGTTTCGATATGACCGCGGAACGCGGGGACAAGGAATATTTGGACGACGAGCAAAAGAACAAACGAAGTTTTTTCGGAAAATTAAAGATGTCTCTGAGAAATCGGCGAGGAAAGGCGATTCGGGGAACCGAGGATATCGGCAGATGTTATGATCGAGAATCCACGGGAGATAACGTGGATGTAGCACGGCACAGATTACGTAGAATAATGTCGGAAGACGTAACGTCGAGCGGTAATGCGACCGGTGGTAAGTGTCCTTTCTTTTTCTTTCTTCTCTCTATCTTTTCCTTCGTATTTCTCGACTCGACTCGTGCCTCTCTTTCTTTTCCCCTTTTCATCGATTCGATGTCACGATTTTGTAGATAGTACGGACGACATCTTAGCTAAATACAGGAGGAAACCAAGCGCAAACAGCGATACGGCATCCATAGAGAGCAATCAGTCCCGTACGAAAGAAGCGACGGAGGACGAGAGGCTTTTCATAGACCCGAATAACGTAGAACTTTCGTACGCGTTCGCAGATGCGAAGAGAAAGTTACGAATGGTACTGAGTACCGCCGATCTTCAGCATATTCCTTGGAGTTCTACGTCCGAGGTAGTTTTTACACTTTCGCGAGGTATTCTTTGCATTTATGCCGAGACGCGCTCTACTCACGATCACATTTCGTTACAGCGAAATTTTTGGCCTCAAAAGGAGAATGAATTGGTTGCCTTCTTACAATTACAATTGGCCGAGGCTATCAATTTACAGGATAGATCGTTAATAGCTCACTTGCACGAAACATTACGATGTGTTCGATTATTTAACGACGACGGTTGCAGAAAACTGTTCAAATCATTGCGCGAAGATTACGAAAAACGCTCGCCCTATATCGCGTATTTGACTCGATGTCGACAAGGACTACTTTCTACGTTGGCTCACTTGGACAGGTACGACTTTTTACCTCTTTCGAGATTCTTCTCGACTAATTTCATCGTTAATTCGTCATTATTGCGTTAAGATTGTGCGTTCGAGTGAAATGCGATCGCGATGCTGTCAACAATCATCTCGTGTCAGTTTGCGTGAGAGTATTTCTGGAGAAACGAGAATCGCTTCTTCTGCATTTCTGCGACGAATTCAAGAAACTAACTTTAGCTGACGAGAAGCAAGACCTGGTCGATAAGTTTTTGAGCAAAGTTCATGCGAAAATGGACATCGATCCGATTTGGCAATGTAAGAAATCACTTTACGGAGGCAACGCTTCGAACCTCTCTGTTCTCTTAATGTATCGTATAACGCGTAATAAAGTATCAAGAGGAAAATTTCGGTTCCTAGGTGCGAGCGAGAGTCAGTTGGCGTTAGCGAGAGCGGTAGTGGAGAGAACCGTAATGGCGCGAGTCTACCATAACGCGCTTTACCCAAACGGAGATGGAGATCTGTATAGGGACCAATTGCTACACGATCACATTAGAAAATTGGCCAAAGTCGTCACACCGAATCACAAAGATCTACGGATTCCAAAGATGTACCATTACGAATGTCCCTGGCCATGGGCTCAAGCGGAACTGGCTGTGATATCGGCGTATAAAACTCCTAGAGATAAATTGCAGTGTGTTTTTCGTTGCGCTACCACCATCATGAACCTACTTTCGATGGCGACGGAGAGAGGAGTACCTGCGGCCGATGATTTTATTCCTGTCTTGGTTTACGTGATCATAAAGGCAAGCATTTCATTTATTATTTTTATTGTCCTTGCGTTACATGTGCATCTACGCTCTGGTAACTCGCTATTGTTTTCGATCAAAACTCTATTCAAAGTCTTCTTTGCGATTATGTTTTTAGACTAATCCGCCGTCCTTACTCTCGACTATACAGTATGTGGATAGTTTTTATGGAAATCGTTTGGAGGGAGAAGAACAGTATTGGTGGACGCAATTTTGTTCTGCCATCGAATTTATAAAGACTATGGATTAACCAACTAGTACTATCTTTGTACTACCTTTGTACCACATAGTAACAAGATATCGCTGTATCCGTAGACATAGCGTATCATCATTTTCATCATTGCCCTTCGTACGACTCTCCTTGTTATCATTACTGTATTTTTGTATGATACCGTATGTTTTCTCACGCAGTGTCCCGTTAGAATTTAAAATCAATTTTTGCCGCACTTTATTAATCTTCAATTATGAATCGGGATAAAAATAATAGTGCTGCTTATGAATTTCAATTGTATTACTGTAAAAAGAAAAAAAGAAAAAAGAAAAAAAAATTTGTCGCTCGTCGTGAATCTTTCTATTTTACGTTTAGCGTTTCCCATTTATACTTTCCCGTCCATTCGTTACTTCCAACTTCCGACTCGGTATGTCTAGCGGTCATCCTGGATAACAGTCTCTAGGGGCGCCTGAGACCAAAAATGTTTAGCCATCTAGCGATAGAAAGTGCTAACTAAATCCTGTTACTAGTTTTACCGCTCGTATATTGCCCTTTGCTTATTTTTTTGTCCGAAATAAACTGCTTTGTTTTTAAAAATATTTATTCGAGAAACTTGTACAATTTATTGATTCGTGTGAATTAGGCATAATGCATGTCGATGCTCTTGTGGTATGGCGATTGGTGGTGACAGTTTTCTCTGACCCGCCATTTTCCCCAAGAAAGACAGATCTGGACTCACGTGTACACGTGCCAAACACGGAAGATAAGAAAGAATACAGAGGCAAAGTTAACCTTTTCATATTGAATAGACGAGAAGTTCTAGCACGATTATTCATATACGACGCGCTTTGTATCAATTTTTTCTTGTTTTTTTTTTTTCGTTTTAGCGATTTTCGCCAATTTATGTATACGAATTTGAATGCTCAAGAACGCTAGCATGTGAAACACTTGACGCGTGGTAATTCAAAACAATCAATCACATTTCATAGAAAAGGAAAGAAAGAAACTTGATTGCTAACAACGAAAATATAAAAGATGTCGAGACGTCCAGAACACTTGGCTCCACCTGAAATGGTAAGACTTAATTTATTCGATTAACCGTATCACAATTCTAATATACTTTGCTTTCCTCATAGTTTTACGATGAATCCGAAGCTCGAAAGTATACGCAAAAGTAAGTTATCGTCTAAGCTTTTCTCCAGTCTCTTTTATCGATCTCCGATCGTAACGTACCAACTGTACAGTTCTAGAATGATAGACATACAAGAACAAATGTGTAGACGTGCTATAGAACTTCTTCTACTGTCAGAGGATGAAACATTTTTGTTGTTAGACATTGGCTGCGGTTCGGGATTAAGCGGCAGCGTAATCGAAGAATATGGCCACGCGTGGATCGGAATCGATATATCTTCCGCGATGCTAGGAAAGTATACGTTTAGGTTTAATACCGATAACCACAACTTCTATTTGTTTCTATCCATTTTTAACTGATGTAATTACATTTATAGGAGTAGCTTTGGAAAGAGAAGTGGAGGGTGATTTAATTTTAGGGGACATGGGTGAAGGTATGCCGTTTAAAGCAGGTAGTTTCGACGGTGCGATCAGTATTTCAGCACTTCAATGGTTGTGCAACGCCGATCGCAGTTCGCATGATCCTTCGAGGCGACTCTATAAATTTTTCTCCACTTTGTTCTCCTGTTTGTCAAGATCAGCTAGAGCAGTATTTCAATTTTATCCTGAAAACAGCGCACAGATTGAATTGATTACGACACAAGCCACAAAAGCCGGATTTTATGGCGGTGTAGTCGTAGATTTTCCAAACAGTACCAAAGCAAAAAAGTTTTATTTAGTCCTAATGACTGGTGGACCTGCTGTTCTTCCGCGAGCTTTAGGCGTTAACGACGCTGAGACAGCCGTCTCGTATACATCCAGAAGGTTTGTTTTTCGATCGAATTTTCATTTCTTTTTCAATTTTTAATATTCGTTTAAAGTTGTATCGTCGATGACTTTCCTTCGTTATTCTCAGAGATCGATTGAGGCAAGTGAAACATAAACCGCTAAAAAAGTCAAAGGAATGGATTATTGAGAAAAAAGAAAGGAGACGAAAACAAGGAAAAGAAGTGGCCGATGATTCCAAGTATACCGGCAGAAAAAGAGCACGGAAATTCTAACGCCGATCTACGTGTTAACACATTTTCGTAGCGTATTCGCTGGATACTCTTATCCCGTACAAATTTTTAGTGAAGAAGAAAAAAAAAAGAAGGAATACTTGTCACCGAACACGTTTATTTTTCCGAACATACAACCGAAACATAAATTGCAATGGATCACTCTGTAACTTAATCCGGTATCAAAAACTGAGACAAACTTTTATGAACGCGAGGATGTACAGTTTTCTTCAGTTCTTCTCGATCTAGCCAACCATGTTTCGCGTTAGAAGAAACATCGCCGCTTATATACTTTGCCAGAAAATAGAAAACTTTTGCTCCGTCTTTTCCCTGTGCTCGAATACTTTTAGGATAAAGGTATTTGTAAAATCCTATCGGAGCGTTACCGTAAAACTGTACTTTAACGTTATTGCCGCAGAATTCTTCTAAACTTCTGCGAGCAGTCTAGGAATGGTAAGTACGAATTAACGTTTTATAGATAATTAAAACGAAGCGGGTAAAAAAATTGGTAACGGAAGTTACCTGTATCATAGTTTCACTCTGTTGTCTTATACTTTGAGGTGGAATCCAATAACTGACATCACCAATTTTCTGTTCTACCAGTAATAATAAATTTTTATCTAATTTACGTCTCAAAGATACGATCGTGTTATCTTCGGTTTCTATAATGTGGAGCAATTCGATTTTAGAAATGATCGTAGCGCAATAATGTCAATGTCAATGTTGTTTTCATGAGAAATACCGTAAACACTTGTACCGTTTTCTCTAGGCGCAAATTGAAATTTTCTTAATTCCTCATCGCAAGCATCCTCAAAATCTTGTGCCGTTTGATGCAATGTTATATTTTCTAAGTCTGATTGTTTCGTTGTCTGCTTAATTTCTTTTTGTTTCTTTAACTCGAAATCCGATAAAATGCTATTCTCGAATTCGATCTGTCGCAACATCTTTTCATAGCGTACTTCGATATCCTTCATCGGTTTTGTGATCACTGGATGACGTTCCAAACAAACAGCACTTAATAAATCCCATTTTTCTGCGACAACGATATTCTGATCGGACGATGTTGGAGCTATAACCTCTGATGCGTATCTAATAGTACCTACAGGAAAAAATTGATCAAACTGATCGAGCTTGACGACAGAAAAACAACGATGTTCTACAAGTTTACTTAAAAACAATAAGACTGAAACGAAAAAGGATAAAGTACTTACCCTTTTCAAATAACTGTAGGTTACTTAGCCTATACGGCGTTAATAGTTTTTTGAACATGATTGGTCGCTTAATAATTTTACTATTCATAAAACATCGATTACCGCATGATCATCAAAATGAAATTATCGCATAGCTTCGTTACGCGTTTAAAGATCTATTCGAACAAAATAGTTCTGTTTTATATCTCGTGTGACCATTGATTCGGTTGATACGGAACGATTGAAAACTCGCTTAATATTAAGGGTAGTTCAAAAGGACTGTTACGAGACACATCTGCTCTGTAATCGAAATTTACCGATAAAACAGTATCGTTTCATTGTTTCCGCTTTTTAATTAAGTATATGGAACCGTGAAAAAAATAACACGAGTTAACGATAAATTATAAAATATCCGATTAGCACTCGTTAATCTCGAAATCGTAAAACTACGCGAAGCTTTTAGTTGGTAAAGTTTTCGTCAAGTTTTCATGATTCGTACAGTTTCGCTTTCTAATTTTGTAGAACATTAGGATAGTTGAGAAAAATTCTTTTAATATTAACTAATAATTTTGACATTGAAATGAATAGACCTAGTGGAAGATCTAATGAAAGAAAAGGAAAAGTTATTTACGATAGAATGCGGTCATTGCGATATCTTTACTTACTGCGCATCTTTGGTAAAAATTTTGCTGAACTTTGCCATGTATGTTATACATATGCCGTGACACGATTGTACGGGTGTGTATAATACGTCGTAGTAATCAATTGACACTTAGTCGTGAAACGATAATATTCTTCGTACGTAAATAAATAGAAAATAATGACGTTTGATCGATAAAAGAGAAAAGAAAGTTATTCGCGATCGATGTAATAATCTGTAATTATTTTAGTAGAGAAACATCAACGGGTCCAGGAGTACCGAAATTACGAATCACTTTTATCATCGGATTGCCTGTGGCGAAGTAATGAAAGTTCATTATTATTTCCTAATCGCCTGCTTGTTGTTAATACGATGTAAATTATTTATAGGAAAGGCGTTATATCGATAACAAGGAATGCAATGGTAAAACGGTTACAGCGTGATTACGGTAAAAAATTGAAAGCGTAAAAGAATTTATTTAGATAAGTTAGGTTAGGTATATCGATCGTCATGGTTGGACCAGATTTACCGGAAATTCCGGCGTCTTTGAAAAGTATCCAACAATATTTGAAAATAGCGGCGACTCATGATCAACGGGATCCGGTGGTTAGTTACTGGTGTACGTATATTTCTCCGTAATTTATTATTCGCTATAAAGAGAGTAACATTGGATCGTCGATCATCGTTCTATTACGAAAACACGATTGTAACTCGTAGGTCGATTGTATGCGCTTCAGACAGGATTGAAACTTTCAACCAAGAGTCCAAAAGAAACAAATTTTTTAATGAAATTAATGGATTGGCTAGAAACAACGAAGAAAGAGTCGCGAGATAACGAAGCTATTACGAACGAAGTAGCTGCACAGGCACATTTAGAAAATTGGGCATTAAAGCTGTTTCTTTACGCGGATAAAAATGACAGAGAGGGTAATTTTGGCAAAAATATTGTGCAAAGCTTCTTTACGGCCGGGCTATTGTACGACATATTAACCATTTTCGGTGAATTGACCGAGGAAGCAGCGCAAAATAGAAAATACGCAAAATGGAAAGCAGCGTATATTCATAATTGTTTAAAAAACAACGAAACGCCTGTACCAGGGCCAATGCAAGAGGATAACGAAAACATCGATTTCGACAGTAACGCGGGTGAAGGTAAAGGAAACTAACGCAATTAGTGTCGTTTTTATTCGATTCCATTTAATTTTCTAACGAATTCAGTTAGCGGCGGAATAGCAACGAAACCAAAAGAGGACGAAACACCGATAAGCTCGGACAAATTAATCGATATTCGTGACAGCGATTCTTCGCATAGAGTAGACGGTAAAAATAACGGAGGAAATGGTGGACAGTGGTCTTCCGAAGATAAAGATTATAACGTAGCAATGAAATCGGAAGGTAAATCGATAGAAGGTATTTTAGTCGAACGATCGCGTACACGATTTTTCGAAGAAATTTCAAATGTGACGTTCGTTAGGGGGAGTCAGTTTGTCCGTGGAAGACATAAACAAAGCGCAGAAGTTAATCAAGTGGGCTGGAAGTGCGTTGAATTACGAGGACGTGCCTACGGCTATATTGAATCTTCGAAAAGCTTTACATCTGTTGACTACCGGCGAAGAAGAGGCACGATAGGAAAAACGATCGAGCGAATCGGATATCGGAATTTCGAAGATTCGCGTCCCCGTTCCTGTGTTCCTATATCCGATACATTGACGGTGGAACGAAATTGTGTCGGTCGATACCTTGTGTAAACAGTAATGTAACAACGAGAATATGAAAATTTACGATTTAATCGATACGGAAGTAAAAATAATAAGTTATTTATTGAATCGTTTACATCGCCTCAGTTACGCCAGACTTTAAACATATTTTTCTAATATATCGAATGATTTTATTGCGCGTAATACCGATCTTCCTAATTAAACCCATTATATCGAAACGTATCGTAATAAAATAATTTTAAGAAAAAAAATACGCCGACTTCGAAATGCATTAAAAAGTATCAAATAATTTCTATTTCATTCAATCATACAATTACGTAACAGATCAGAATGAAAGCTATTTACTCGTTACTTAATATTTCAACCTTTTCGGAGGCGGCGCAAAATTAAAAGATTTTCTTGAACATGTCAACCTTTGGACAGCCGAACATAGGCAAAGCTTGTATAGCTATTTTTTTTTTCTATACATATAACTCGACAGCACGCCGCGAAGTAGCTGTTAGTGCGTATAGAATGTAACTATGGTCTATCTAGATTCATAGAGTATACGATCGCCGCATATACTATAAAGATAGAGCCCATCTGCCGCAAATTTGCTAATTCCCGCGTCGTGGGCTCCGTTTATACGTTCTTAGATCCATGGCTTTCACACGTTGCAAAATGAAGATGCAGTCGTTACATTTACGTATATTACCAGATATATCTATAATGGTTCGTATTCTTCCTCAGGATTTATTAATTTCCAATACGCCATACCACAATCAACTGGTTATTGGCAGCAACGTTTACTGAGGTATTTTTCATTTTGCACCGCCTCCGAAAAGGTTGAAATATTAAGTATTTAATATACTACCTAACGAGTAAATAGCTTTCATTCTGATCTGTTACGTAATTGTACGATTGAATGAAATAGAAATTATTTGATACTTTTTAGTGCATTTCGAAGTCGGCGTATTTTTTTTCTTAAAATTATTTTATTTCACGCTTTTTATAAGTTGGCCAGTAACGGTGCACAAATTACAAGGGACCACATTAAACAAAGCTGTAATTGATCTTGGCAAAAGGTCAAATTTACGTTGCACTTAGTCGTGTTAAAAGTCTAGATGGTCTAGTTTTATCCGATTTAGCGCCAAACAAAGTCCTAGTTAAAACTCATAACGAGCGAGCACTCGCAGAAATGGAAAGATTACGACGCTTGCTTTTGCAAACAAACACTGCAAATCAGCTTCCAGCGACTGACAAGTAAAGAAACGAGCCAAGTCTGTTTTTTTTCCTTCTCTTTTATTTACGGCCAATTGATAAAGAAATTGACGAAGTCTACTTACAGGAACAATTTTGAAAAACCACGGTCGCCATATTTCTTGCAGCAGGGTAAGAATAACTCTTTTGCAATATCAGTAGTTATTAACAATTAACGAGTCCCATAAATGTCTGTTACAAATGAGATCATCTTGGAAAGATCTTCGAGATTCGAAAAGTTTCATCGCGATCGGTGCATTTCTTACATAACAATACCAAAGAATAGGATTTTTCAATAACCATAGTTATTATACATGTATACTGATTCTCGGCCGACACGGAGACATAAAGTCCTCCTTGTACCGGCTCTCGCGTACGACCGAATCAGAATATTAATGATCTGTGTATACGTATATACATATGTACCAGTAATATGTTCAATTTAATCGTTGAAAAAATCCCTGATAACATATTAAAAGGACATT